GGGGGATGATGATGGGGGAGGTGTGGTGACGGTGGATGATGATGGGGGAGGTGTGGTGTCTGGGGATGATGATGGGGGAGGTGTGGTGTCTGGGGATGATGATGGGGGAGGTGTGGTGACGGGGGAATTGCTGGTAGCTGGGAATTGGTGCTTGGTGCTGTGGGGATGCAGTGGTGTTTTTGGGGTTGGGGTTGGGAGAGGAGGGGGGTTGTTGGAGTATGAGGTGTGGGGAGAGGACTTGGGTTATTGAGCTGTGGGTGTTCCCTTCTATTCCCCTCCCCCACAGCAGGATAATTTAATTTCTTGAAATACTTAATTAAATTGATTAAGCAAAATATTCAAGACTATATTCGTTCCTATTAAAGTCTGACGACTAAGTTGTGACTTGCTAGGTAAACCATTTTTGCCAGGTATTATAGACTGGTACTAGGAGTAATTGGTACTTGTCGGGTACTAGGAGTAAATGGTTACTTGACTGGTACTAGGAGTAAATGGTACTTAACTGGTTCTAGGAGTAAATGGTACTTGACTGGTACTAGGAGTAAATGGTACTTGGCTGGCACTAGGAGTAAAATAAAATGGTACTTGGCTGGCACTAGGAGTAAATGGTACTTGCCTGGTACTAGGAGTAAATGGTACTTGCCTGGCACTAGGAGTAAATGGTACTTGCCTGGTACTAGGAGTAAATGGTACTTGCCTGGTACAAGGTACGAGAACAACTTCGAGGTACGCGTTGGTGCGCACGACCTCAGTGACCCCAACGAGCCAGGCAGCAGCAGGCTGTCGGTGCTGCAGGTCATAGTGCACCAGGGCTACCAGCCTCCTGGTCGCTACCATGACATCGCCATACTCAGGCTCAGTGATAAGGTACGTGTGAGGCTAGGTGAGGTACGTGTGAGGCTAGGTGAGGTACGTGTGAGGCTAGGTGAGGTACGTGTGAGGCTAGGTGAGGTACGTGTGAGGCTAGGTGAGGTACGTATGACGCTAAGCAATGCAATTTAATTAGGTTGTGCAATTTATGAACATCAAAATGCAAACTATTTTGAAATTCTTTTTAGTTATAACGGTTTTTATTCAAAGATCGTATACTTTTTGTTGCTGTTGATAGATCACTAATAAATAGCCTGAAAAATTCAGATTGTTATTTCATTTACGAGTAAAATTAAGGTGAACCAAATTTGTGAAGAAATCCCATAGAAACTTGCCAATTAAGCCTATCCGAAGTGTCGTGGCTCTCAACACCCCCCTTAAAACTTTGATAATTTCATGCTGATAAAGTTAATTATTAATAAAGTTAATACAATTTCATCCTGAAGTATTTCGTTCCCCATCCTCCCCCACACAGGTCCCCATCACTCGCACCCAGCGCCCCGTATGCCTCCCCTACAGGGCGGCACCCCTCCGCCCTGGGGACGCGCTCACCGTCGCCGGGTGGGGACACCAAGATGGCGGTCAGTCCCAAGTCCACTTTCAATGAATTCAATGAAATTCAGTGAATATATTATTCATTGAATATCAGTGAATGACTCAGTCCTACCGAGGCCGTTTGTGAGGCAGTATGTGAGGCCATATGTTAGGCCATTTGTCAGGCTATATATTAAGCCATTTGTCAAGCCACTTATCAGGCCATTTGTCTGGCTATTTGTTAGGCCATTTGTCAAGCCACTTATCAGGCCATTTGTTTGTCCATTTCTGAGACTTTTTTTGTCAGGCCATTTCTCAGGCCATTTCTGAAGCCATCTGTTAGACCATTGCACAGGCCATCTGTTAGGCCATTTCTCAGGCCATTTCTGATGCCATCTGTTAGGTCATCTGTCAGGCCATCTGTTAGGTCATTTGTCAGGCCATCTGTTAGGCCATTTCTGAGGACATCTGTTAGGCCATTTCTGAAGCCATCTTTTAGGCCATTTGTGAGGCCCTAATCCCCCCCTGACAGGCTCGGTCTCGTCGCGTCTGCGCGTCGCGACGCTGGGCTACGTGGACCAGGCGACGTGCAACGCGCGCTGGGACGGCCGCGCGGGGGCCGTTTACCCCAGCGGCGCGACCAACACCCTTCTCTGCGCCGCCGCCCCCGGCCGTGACGCCTGCAAGGTGGGGCAAGGGGCTGGGTCAAAAAAAGGACTGTATTGGGGCTGGGTTGAAAATGGAAACTAAAGAGAGGGGCTGGGTCTCAAAGGGGGACTGTATTGAAAATGGAAACTAAAGAGAGGGGCTGGGTCACAAAGGGGGACTGTATTGGGCTGGGTGGAAAATGGAAACTAAAGAGAGAGGCTGGGTCAAAAAGGGGGACTGTATTGAAAATGGAAACTAAAGAGAGGGGCTGGGTCACAAAGGGGGACTGTATTGGGCTGGGTTGAAAATGAAAGCTAAAGAGAGGGGCTTGGGTCTCTAAGGGGGACTGTATTGGGCTGGGTTGAAAATGAAAGCTAAAGAGAGGGGCTTGGGTCTCAAAGGGGGACTGTATTGGGGCTGGGTTGAAAATGGAAACTAAAGAGAGGGGCTGGGTTACAAAGGGGGACTGAATTGGGGCTGGGTGGGAAATGGAAACTAAAGAGAGGGACTGGGTTAAACGGGAAGCGAGAGAAGGGGTTGGACTGTGAGGTTGGGCTGCAGATAAGCTAGATAATCAGATCAGATTATAAAATCAGATAATAAATAAAATAATAATAAATAATAATGAGATCAGATAATAAAATCAGATCAGATCAGATGATAAAATCAGAGGACAACCAGTTCGGGACGCTTGTCAAAGACCACCATGCACTGCCCTGCTGTAAATGGACTATCATGATTTCTTCCCTCATGAACGTGGCCTCAAATACTTCCAGATTATCAAATTATCAGCCGCAAGCCACCAGACAGATCAAATTTATTGAATCATACGAATCAGCCCACATGAAAACAGCCTGCTTTAGTATGGTCTAGCTTCGTCTGCCGATGCGCGAAAAATTTTTTCACCACTCGGACAGAGCGCGCCGGAGCCTTGTAATGGATATGTCATCCACCAACCCGTCCTAATCTGGCCTATGCATCGAATCAGCCCACGGTCGAAATACCAGTAGGCGATAGATTTTGGAGCAGAGCTTTGCTATCTGATACCTAACCTCATATGCCGTGAGCTAAATGTCACGTAATTTAACGATGCCACGGAAGTCATGTTTCTACCGTCGTCTGGTGGTGCCCGGCAGGTTTTTATGCAGATCCCCTGACGAGTTACGCTGACTGATCGCAGTCCGTTGAACACTGGTTACAGTTCGAGCTGTAGTCAGGGTATGAAGTGATGTTTGGACTTTGGATGCAACGTTCAGCGGTGGACGATTAGTCTAGGCTATTTGCTACCGCGTATGGTGGTGTAAAGACCATAAATTTTAAAACGATATGATGTCATGGGCTGGTTACTGACGGCAGACTTAATCCACAACTGATTGGTTGCCTTACGGAAATATGGCGTTCCATTCAGGGTTATTTGGTGCACAAAATTGATGGTGCACGGCTGCGCTACCCTGGGTTATGAGTTCAGGAAAGAGGGTAAGTTAAAAATATAACTCAGTACTCACTGCAGTGAGTGACAGAGAGCGCATTTTCTCGTCGACAAGAACGTGAAGTCACGGACAGACAGACGGACGGACATGACGAGCACAATAGAGCAATTTTCATTTTGAATGAGAAAATACGCAAAAAAGACGATATTTCGAAATGCGTTTTATTTTGACTTTGCTCTGAATGAGTTTAAACTAGCAGCTGAACTAAGCGTTTCTTGGGATAGATAATCCTCGTGATTTTAGAATACCGCACCATAAGTTTCGTTTCAAAGTTTCAAATTGTTCGATCTAATGGGGAAAATGAATTAAATAGTTCCTAATGATGAAATACTTCATAAACTCTCAATTCGCAGATTAACATAAATTTCCTTGCAATTTTTTAATATTTAATTTCTTGTTTAAAAAAATAAAATTACATTTTACGCCTCTGGAAATGAAGTTTCAGGCCCAGGCAATATCCCGATACGATACAAGTATCCAGGATACGCGCCCCAACAGCCCCTATATATTGCGGCGCCATAAGTATCCTGGATACGCGCCCCAACAGCCCCTATATATTGCGGCGCCATAAGTATTATAAGTATCCTGGATACGCGCCCCAACAGCCCCTATATATTGCGGAGCCTTAAGTATCCTGGATATGCGCCCCCAACTACCCCCTTAAATTGCGACACCAGGCATCAAACACACACAAACACAAACTCAAATCTTTGAAAATATAATCGAGTAACAATAAACAAATTCTATAGTTTATTAATTATAATTAACTAACAGGTTAAGTCTGTGTTGCTCGCGAATGTTCCTCCATTCATGTTTCCTCTCACCCCATCCCCAGGGTGACTCAGGAGGCCCCCTAATGCGCAAGGAGGAGGGGCGGGAGGTGGTCACCCTACTGGGGGTGGTGTCGCAAGGGCTGGGGTGTGCAGGGGAGGTACCGGGGACATATACCAGAGTACAAGCCTACCTAGACTGGATCGTGGATACCATCTGGCCTGCAGAACCATAGTCTTGATCATCGTGGATATACCATCTGACCTGTTGAACCATAGTCTTGATCATCGTGGATACCATCTGACCTGTAGAACCTTAGTGTTGACCATCGTGGATACCATCTGGCCTGTAGAACCGTAGTCTTGACTATGTGGATACCATCTGGCCTGTAGAACCGTAGTCTTGATCATCGTGGATGCCAACTGGCCTGTAGAACCTCGAATCATTACTATATGGCCTTGGTTCAAACTATCTGTCCTAAAGAAAAATAAAACATTTTTAAATATCAGGAACATGACCCGCGTAATGGATCATTTTTAATCATTGTGCCTACCAAAATGAGCAACCAAGTTTTACAGCAACCAAGAACAACAACCAAGTTTTACAACTCGATCCCAACCTTCACCATAATTCTAACTACAAAAATTTAGACAATGTCGTTAAGAAAAATCATGATCTAATTTTTTTTCTCGACATTTGGCTTATGCCAATTTGACCAACTTTTTCAAGCAACTTTTCAGCACAAGCAGAAATAAGAAACGAGATCCGAACTGAGATAGATGGAAGATATCCCAACCTGCTGCTCTGTTTCGTGAGAGAACGACTAATTTGTTTTATGTCAGTTATTAAAAACCTGTTAATTCAAATGTATTAAAAAGTTTGAAAGAAACTGCAATTCAAAACTTAACGAATAAGTTTCACGTATATCACAACACGTTCGAATAGTTTATTGTACTTCAATTGTATGATTTATATTTCAATTATAAATTTGTTTTAATATAAATATCAATGTTATGGATCTAAGTATACACTCAGTTATGCATCAGTGAATCGCACTTGACATTTCAAATGGTAATTATATTTCCCTATAAATTTTACAGACGAGTTCTTTATCGCATTGAAATCCACAAATCTCATCAAGTGACTCGTATTCTTCAACCTTTTTTAAAACGAATATTCCTTTATTATTCCATATCTCTATCTCTCTTCAGCCTACGCAGATCCACAAATGCCCAACATCTTACTGGAAGTTTTTGTAGCACATATGTCAAACAGTATTGCTACGGAATCTTCAATAATAAACTGAACGGGTGTAGCCCATGTAATATAGTGAGGGAATCTTGAATAATAATAATAATAATATGAGCGGATAAAGAGCATACAATATAGTGACGAAAACTTGAAAAATAATGATAATATGAGCGGATGTAGAACATACAATGTAGTTATACGATACCTTGAATAATAATAATAATAATATGAGCGGATATAGAACATTCAATATAGTGAGGAAATCTTGAATAATAATTATGTTATGAACAGATATAAAATATACTAAATAGTGATTTAATCGTAAATAATAATCAGCTGGTATAGTCCATACAGTGCAATTAAAGGACCAAATGAACATGGATGCATAAAAGTAAGAAGTAAAGAGAAAAATTCTACAGAAGTTTTATTGGCATTCACGGTGGTCTTGTATATATAGACTCCCGCGACAGAGTGAATGCTTTCCTCGAGAAAGGTGACATTAAGTTGAGTGATTTTGGATGTTGAATCATGAAATTTATTCGTCGAGAAAAAATGAAGGCTTTTTGCCGTTTTAAAGTGAATAAATTTCTAGGTTTAAGAGAACTTTCGAGTTGAATTTAAATTAAAAAGGTATGAATACTAATTCTATTTTAGAAACGGCTGAACTGATACACGTAAAATTATAATAGACTTTTTACCGCTCCAAAGTGAAAAAGTTTCCAGGTTTGGGAGTATTTTTGAGATGAATTTAAAAAGTTTTAGAATACACTGTAGAATAGAATAGAAGTGTCGGCGTTGAAGAAATAGGCCCATGGTCTGTTGCCGATTCTTGAACTTTTCGTGACTTGATTCACAAGGGATCCGGCCTTTGGAACCCGATCTTTTCATTACTGACGATTGATTGAGATAGCTGCTGGACTTATTGCCTGCTCCGTAATTTGCTAGGCATTTTAAGACTGAACATATGCTCCTGCATAGCTTCGTGTCTGTTTTTGAAGATGTTCATACTCCGAGCGTCAACGATGCTATCAGGGAGGCTGTTCCACATGTCGGTGACTCGAAGCGAGAAGAAATGTTGTCGCATGGATGTGTTTCAACGCTGTTTTTTTAGTTTTTAGCCGTGGCCCCTGGTGTTGATTCTTGTTGCAAATTCTAGTAATCCTTCTGGGACCTTGTATAAGCCATGAGTATACTTGTATACTTCAATGAGCTCCCCACGCAAACGTCGATAACTGAGGCTTGGAAGCCTCATAATCTTTATTCTTTCCTCATTGGACTTGCCTTTCAAGCTCGGAATTATCCTTGTTGCGCGTCTTTGAACATTCTCTACTAAATTTTTGTCCTATTCAAATTTCGGTGACCACACGACGTTTCCAAACTCTAGGTTCGGGCGCACGACAGCAACAAACAACTGCTTCATCGCTTCTGCATTTAGGAACTCGAAAGAGCGTCTGATCAGTCCAAGTCGTTTATTGGCTTTATTAACTTGACCTTCAATATGCTTAGAAAATTTCAACTCATTGTCGATATTAACTCCTAAATCCTTTTCCGTTGTCGACTTCGACATCATCACTCTGTCGTTGCAACCGTGTCTTCTCATACTGTAATCTTGCTGTTCATTATTTTTGCCAAGGTGGATAACTTTACATTTGTCCGCGTTAAAGCGCAGCTGCCACTTATCAGCCCAGTCCACCAGCCTGTCAAGATCACCTTGCAACTGTACTTTTTGCGACGTATACTTCACTGTATTATAAATTTTTGTGTCGTCAGCATACATCGAACAAACGCTAGACACAGCTTCTGGCAGATCATTTATAAACGCAGCGAATAGAATAGGCCCGAGAACGCTTCCTTGTGGCACGCCGCTGCGCACTGAAGCCCAGTCTGATACGGACCCATTAATGCTGACACGTTGTCGCCTCCTTACTAGAAAATCTCTGATCCATTTGAGTACATTACCCTCAATTACATTATTTTAATTAGTACATAATTAGTACATTACCCTCAAGACTTCAATTTACGCAACAGCCGCTCATGTGCATGGGACACTGTCAAATGCCTTGGCAAAATCGAGGTACACTGCAATGACTGCATCTACTGGCTCCCTTTCGTCCAGCAGGCGGGTCCATTCGTTCAGAGTCGACAAGAGGTTAGTGGTGCAGGATCTCCCGGCAATAAAGCCATGTTGACAGTCTGATAGGAGATTATTAGCAGTCAAATGATCTCTCAATCGATCCCTTACAACAGATTCCATTACCTTGCAAACGACACTTGTCAAACTAACAGGGCGATAGTTGCCCGGGCAGCTTTTGTCACCTTTTTTGAACAATGGTGTCAGTGTCACTTGAGCTTCTTTCCAGTCAGCCGGCAACATTCCTTCGTTACTACTAATTATTCGTTATTACCACTAATTTCGTTATTACTAATTCCATTTTAGAAACGGCTATTCTATTTTAGAAACGGATAAAATTTCAAATTGATAATGTAAGCGTAGCTGCAATTCGTAAATCGATAAAAAAGTAAATAAAATGACCTGTGACTGAAATTTTCTCAAATTTGTAATCGTTCCTAATTCTTCAGCAAATCATAGAACCGGTTTTATAAATCAAACATTTATCGAGTGATCAGCGGACGATAATCAACAATGGAGATTAAATTTTAATCAGTGACCGCACAATCAAAATTCGTTTAAATACACGTAGCACCTCAAATTGCACGAAGATGCCGATTACCCGTCAGTTATAGAGGAGTTACGGACTTGATAATTAACTATTATTAATTACGGACTTGTAATTGTTTTTGATAGTATGGCCCCTGTCATTGTAAAGAACTGATGCGTTCGCAGATCTTAACAGTCGGCAGCAGAACTTGAGTGAACCGCTTTAGGCTAACCTAGAAATTTATTCACTATGAAACGGCAAAAAGTCATTCAAATTTCATGAGCGTCAGTTCAGTCGTTTCTGAAATGGAATTAGTATTAATGACTTAGTATATTCAACTTAAAAATTTCCATAGGCGTAAATATGTAAAAAAAACGGCAAAAACAGGCGTTCAAATTTAATGAGTGTTTCATCAGTTTTTTGAACGAAAATTTTCATCAGTTTTTTAAATGAAATTAGTAGTAATAGCTTACCAAATTCAACTTGGAAATTTTTCCAAATCTAGAAATTTATTCACTTTGAAACGGCAAAATAGTAGTTATTTAGGAAACGGCTGAAATTGAAGTTAGAAAATTATTTACATTAATTCTATTTCAGAAACGACGTAACTAGCAGTTATGAAATTTTAAGAAGCTAATGCTAGCTGTCAGGTCATGTCTTTATATGCTGGTCAAACCAGGTAGGAAAAAATGAAATTGTGACAGGCGAGACGTTGTCGCAAACTCAACAATGACAAGTGCATCTAATTTCATGATAATAGTTTGAAAATTTCGAAATTTTTTCGCGAGGTAACGTGAGTTTAAGTTATAATACCCTTCAATCTTTCAGTGACGATCAAAGTCACAGATACGGTTATGGCATCACACTGATGACGAACTTAGATGACTAATTAATATCGAAATTTTACCATATGACAAACTGAATTGTTTTCTGCAAGTCGTCGCTTGATGCAGAAGTAACCACCTCAGGTACAAATATTTTTATTTTACATTTGCCCTTCGTGTGGTCGATCCCAGGGTCACCACCTGGTCAAACCAGGTGCCCGGGGAGAGGGGGAAGTCCAGGTCCTCGGGGTGGGTGGGGGATCTGCCCTGTGCCTATACCTTCAAAAAAAGTTAAGATATCGTAAGTTCTTCAGCCAATCATTGACGGCCTTTCAAGCAAAATCCACCAATCACGGACAAGAAAATAGAGCGTAGGTAAGTACTTACGTTCACTTAGTGAGTTTTGAATGTATGGCCCCAGGGCAAGAAGAGGTGAGGAGGGATTGCCCTAACACCTCGACCTTCATCGCTTAGAAATAACTGCTAATTAGTCGCGGTCGGTTCCCGGTCCATCCCGGATGGATATTTTGCTCAGTGCCTACCTGGGGCTCAAGTGAGGCGGACGTATGTAGGTGCGCAGAGTGTGCAGACGACGTCATCAGTTTTGAAGACTCGCACGATGTTTCTTAACATTGTAGTAACTATGACGTTGCTGTACCTGGGTACCTTCATGGGTGAGAACTTTCATTAGTATTTGAATAGTTATTTATATAATAGGAATCCGACAAGTTCACATCAATTAATATATTTATTTTATCATTTTATTCCTCTTCGCTGTAAATAAGTCTATTAAAATTTATAGGTTGTACAGGTTGAAATGTCAAGAATTAGTAATATAGTAAGTGTATTAAAATATAACCGTAGGGCATAATGTATAAACCACAAATTTTCAATTTATACGCAACAAGCAGGTTAGCCCATCATTGCTCGTCAAAGATAATTCTTGTAATCAAAGAATTACACTATTCTGGATAATTATATACGTTATTCTGGATAATCAAAATGAATTTCGAAATCCCTAATCTCGTTGTCCCGAATCCCAAATCATCGATCCCGTCATATTTAATCCCTAATTTTGAAGCTGGTTCATTAGTAAAATATTATTTATATTATTAAAATATTATTATTATTTTATACTATGAATTTATTTTATGTAATCCAGCCTATCTCCCAGTTGTTCAATAACTTATCGTACGTTCATTTAATTCCCGGAATATACATAGTCCCGACAGAATTAGTATTCAGGATACGTGCCCCAGCAGCTCTTGAATATTAGCCGCTTCAGGTTTCAGGCACACAAAATCTATCAAATATATACATACAGTATTATTTTTTGAGTGTAAACCAAGGCGCTGTTTAAATTGACTGCTTGTAGCTATAACACGGTGATCTATGACAATATTTCTAAACTATGCATATATTATGTTCTTTACCAACAGGGTTAAATCAGTTTTATATTGTTACGCAACAATATTGTTAAATTAAGCTTTATTGTTTTCAATAATTATATATTTATTTATATTTTGACTAGAGATGTTCCTTGCTGGAAATGTAAGGATCGACCATTACATTAATGTTATCACTGGCATTCAGCAAAAATGTAAAAGTGAAGAAATTCCCGCAAAAATTACTTGATTCCACAAAACAACGTTTATAAAAAAACGTTACCAGCATTTTCCATAAAGATATGGCGAATACTTGTGGAATTTTATTTGATTCTAAATTTTTAGTGAATTTGCGATTCAAGAAAACAAGTAACATTAATTCTTGTTTGGTATTCTGTAGAAAGTATACATAAAACTTGAAAAATAGTATAAAAAATAAGCATAGAGATTACATAAATATTGTATAGACTACAAACATCGGTGAAATACCGGACCTGTTTCCAAGCGGTTCTTCTGTTTGAATTTAAATATTTTTCTGTACCTCTTAATGGATAAATTTTAAAATAAAAATAATGGTTAAAAAAATCCATTTTCTGTACCTGTTAATGGATTTTTCTGTTAACAGATGGAGTGGATGGACAGCTTGGGGACTCGCTCCAGGCTCTGTTGAACAGGTTCTGCCAACAGAACCCCAACAGGAGAGGCTGTCATGGTCTTCCTCCTCCGGTACTGTTACTGTTGGTGCAATTAATACAGTCTTTGCTATTATTTTTTTGCAAACAGAAACTCAACAGGAAAGGATGTCACCATCGTTCACCTCACTGTTATTGTTGGCAGAATGAAAACAGGCTTTTCAGCGCATTTTCTCATTTATGGAAAAAAGGCGCTATTGTGCTCGTCATGTCCGTCCGTCCGTCTGTCTGTGACTTCACGTATTCGTTGATTTTTACGCCCTTTGTCACTCACTGCAGTGAGGACTGAGTTATATTTTTTATTATTTGTAGTAAATAGCACCACAAACAGAAGTGCCAGTCAACATACAAGTCTCCTGTTGGTGTATTTAGACTTCAATCCGCAAATTTACTGTTAAAAGAAAGTACCACTGACCGCTGGAAATGAATGCTCTGTAACTTAATTAAATATATAAATTGAAGCGTTTATATGAATAATGGTAACTATTTATTATTTGATGAATTTATTCACTTATAATTTATCGCGAGATATTTAATTATTCTCAGTGATTTTGAAATATAATTTAGAGATAATATAGCCGTGAATGCCTAAATTACAATTTGACTTGTGATATTGAAACCATACCAGTTGTTGGTAATGTCAGCTGTCACGTGCTGACAGGCTGCAGTGTCAGGACCGGACGGCTGTCCGGTCGGCAACCGTCGCTGTCCTAACGGCCAGTGTCTGCCCGAAGGCCTCAGCTGCGACCTGATCGGTAACTAGTGGTCACATGTCGTATATATAGCGCCATGCACCGTAACTAGTGGTCACACGTCATATATATAGCGCCCAGCACCGTAACTAGTGGTCACCCGTCATATATATAGCACCCAGCACCGTAACTAGTGGTCACCCGTCATATATATAGTGCCCAGCATCGTAACTAGTGGTCACACGTCATATATATAGCGTCCAGCACCATAACTAGTGGTCACCCGTCATATATATAGCGCCCAGCACTGTAACTAGTGGTCACACGTCATATATATAGCGCCCAGCACCGTAACTAGTGGTCACACGTCATATATATAGCGCCCAGCACCGTAACTAGTGGTCACCCGTCATATATATAGCACCCAGCACCGTAACCAGTGGTCATCCGTCATATATATAGCACCCAGCACCGTAACTAGCGGCCTGCCAGGCCACTAGTTACGCGACTGATTCACGTGTTGATAACCGTATCAATTAACGCACCAATTGACTTAGGTACCTGTTAATGGATCAGTTAACGCTTCAATTAAAGTAGCAATTAACGTATCAATTAACGTATCAATTGACGAATTATTCAACGAATCGATTAACGCATCAATTAACAAATCAATTAGCGTATCAAGTAACGTGTCAATTAACGAATCAATAATATATCAATTTGCGTAACAATTAATGAATCAATTAACGTTTCAATTAACGTATCAATTAACAAATCAATTAACGTATCAATTAACGTATCAATTAACGTATCAATTAACGTATCAATTAACAAATCAATTAACAAATCAATTAACGTATCAATTAACAAATCAATTAACAAATCAATTAACGTATCAATTAACGTTTCAATTAACAAATCAATTAACGTATCAATTAACGTATCAATAAAGGTATCAATTAACGAATCAATTAACTTATCAATTAACGTCCCAGTTAACGAATCAATAACGTATCAGTTAACGAATCAGTTAACGAATCAATTACCGAATCAATTACCGAATCAATTACCGAATCAATTAACATATCAAGTAACGTACCAATCAACGTATTAATTAACATATTAATTAACGTATAAATGCACGTACGTATTTGCAGGCTCGAGCGAATCTTGCGCGCTTCCTTTGGCCTCCAGCGTGACAGTCCAGCCAATATTCTGCGGCACTGGCAACTCTGGCATCAGGTGACTGATTGGCAACACTAGTCAGGTGACTGATTGGCAACACTGGCGTCACGTGACTGATTGGCAACTCTGGCGTCAGGTGACTGATTGGCAACTCTGGCATCAGGTGACTGATTGGCAACTCTAGCGTCAGGTGACTGATTGGCAACACTAGTCAGGTGACTGATTGGCAACACTAGTCAGGTGACTGATTGGCAACTCTGGCATCAGGTGACTGATTGGCGACACTGGCGTCAAGTGACTGATTGGCAACTCTGGCGTCAGGTGACTGATTGGCGACACTGGCGTCAGGTGACTGATTGGCAACTCTGGCGTCAGGTGACTGATTGGCAACTCTGGCGTCAGGTGTCTGATTGGCAACCCTGCCATCAGGTGACTGATTGGCAACACTAGTCAGGTGACTGATTGGCAACTCTGGCGTCAGGTGACTGATTGGCAACTCTGGCGTCAGGTGACTGATTGGCAACTCTGGTGTCAGGTGACTGATTGGCAACTCTGGCGTCAGATGACTGATTGACCACCCGGGCGCACTGCGACCTGCACGTGCTAGCATCAATTGATAAGTTATATTATTGTGTAGAATTTGAATTATAAACGGATGATTTATATTTTATTTAAGCCGCAATTTGACAGATATCTGACTTGACAGTCTTCTGTCAACCCCAGCAGGTGTGACAGAGAAGGCCGTGTGCCCGTCTTGACAGAAATCATCGTACAGTGCAGAGGAGCAGACGGCGCGTCTACTTCTGTCGTGAGTGACGCATGCCACTGGCAACCTGACGTTGAAATAGCGTTGATTTAACGTTGAAATAACGCTGATTTATCGTTGAAATAACGCTGATTTAACGTTGAAATGACATTGAAATGAGGTCGATTTAACGCTGAAATAACGTTGATTTTACGTCAATTCAACGTTGAAATAATGTTTATTTACCGTTTAAATAGCGAAAATTGAGCGTTGAAATAACGTAAATTTAGCGATGAAATAACGTTTAAATAACGTTGATTTTACGTTTGAATAACGTAAATTTAGCGTTTAAATATTGTTGATTTAACGTTGACATAACGTTGATTTAACGTTGCTAATATGACACCAACACGTAAGCAACGTCATTTCACTGGAGAAGTTTATTAATTTAAACCAAAGTTTCATCACTGCTTTATTATATCAATAATTTTCTTAACTTTATAATGTTTGCATTCACTTTGCACTGCTACACAAGACGGAGGCCATATCAGCTAACGCTCAAGTATACAGGAGCAGTCAGTGACTTGGTCAGAAAAATTGTTCATAGCGCGCCATCTGAGTATTGATTGCTGTGCACTTTTTGTTTATTTGTTTTTTTAAGGATTTTAGGTTTTAAAATGGATTTTAGGTATTTTATTGAGTCGTATATGAGAATGAATGTGAACCAAATTCATACTTGTTCTTGTCATGTCTAGTTCAAGAATATAAAGATTTTTATTTATTTACTAAAGAAAAATGGTTACTTCGATGGCTCGAGGAAAAAAAAGCTCTACATAGAATTAAAAAATTAAATATACGATCACATATGCATATAAATACATACTTAGTATAGGTTGGCAGAATTTTTTCTTTCAAGCAGGTTTCATTGAAGACCAGAGAATTTGTTTTATTCGCAATTTTCTTATTAGTTTTTTCAATATATCGAACAATATTTTTAGTTTGAACTGGCAAATCGAAAATCAGGTTACCGATGGACATTTTTATTTCGTTAACGACGTTTCGAATGTTTCTATCATTCATTATCAAGTTAAAAGGCGCATTGAGTGATGAAATTAGCGTCGACATAAACAAAGTCAAGTAAATAGGATACTACTCAAAAATCAAAATTGTTAGGAATAATTACAAAATCACAAAATAATTTAGAATCAAAGCACCGAAAATCACTCCGAAAACAGTCTCAAGGTTCTGACAAATCCAGTAGTTTGAAGGTTGATGGCTGGGGTCCTATCCTTAATGATGAGGGCCTCAGCTNTTATTCCTAACAATTTTGATTTTTGAGTAGTATCCTATTTACTTGATTTTGTACTTATGTCGACGCTAATTTCATCACTCAATGCGCCTTTTAACTTGATAATGAATGATAGAAACATTCGAAACGTCGTTAACGAAATAAAAATGTCCATCGGTAACCTGATTTTCGATTTGCCAGTTCAAACTAAAAATATTGTTCGATATATTGAAAAAACTAATAAGAAAATTGCGAATAAAACAAATTCTCTGGTCTTCAATGAAACCTGCTTGAAAAAAAAATAAATACATACATACATATACATACACACACATACATTTTGATAAAAAACTATTAATATAACCTGGATTACTTAATTTACTATATTATTTTAGAACAAAAACTTCATGAATTTTATAACCGTTTTATTGCAGTCCTCCCTGTCAGCACACCAGGTGGGGGGCGGGGGGGTGGGTGCAGGAGTGTACAGGTGTGTACAGGGGGGACAATGGTCCCCCACCTACGAGGGCTCCCCCCTCCTCCCCACCCTCCTCACCTCCTGCTACTATGCAGGTCTGTTGTTAGGGAATAGTATACAATTATTAATATTTCTTAGCAACAATTTTTCCATTTTCATTTAAAGCTTTCCTTACTTTAGGTTATTCAAACATCCGGGATTCATTCATTCATGTTTTTGCTACGCGCTGGTAAGGACTACAGGGGCACAACGCAATTGTACAGATCTGTTTTGCTGAATATATTGTGAACTCGGTGCTCTGTATGAACTGAAACCTTTTCACGACCGTGACAAGATAAAGTGATTAAGAAGTCGTCCCCAGCACTGTCGTTGTCTTTACTTCTGACTTGTGAATTTTTATCGGTTCCTAATTTACGAAATAACTATGGTTTTCTCCAGGCCTCTTAATTTTATTCTTTCAGACAATTCATTTTCTTTCCCATCCAGTCCACATTTCCCCCTTAGCCACTTATTCTTTACTTAACCAATTGCCACTTTACTTAACCTAAGCCACTTATTCTTTACTTAACCAATTTACTTAACCAACCTTAACCTTAACTTATTCTTTACTTAACCAATTTACTTAACCAACCTTAACCTCAACTTATTCTTTACTTAACCAATTTACTTAACCAACCTTAACCTCAACTTATTCTTTACTTAACCAATTTACTTAACCAACCTTAACCTTAACTTATTCTTTACTTAACCAACTTTACTTCAGCGCACTCATTTTCTCTCTCTCTCTCTCACCCTGTAATGTGTATATTTTTGCCTAGTGTGCACTCCAGTACAGTTTGCTCTTCCCATTAACTGCATGCTCTGCCTAATGTAACCGCCTTTTGAAACAAATAAGGACAACTGTCACATGCCAAAGTCATCTATCTGAAACCCTTTTAATTGAATTTGGTGTAAAAAATCTTCCATACACTGAATTTTACGTATTATTTTAAGTATTCTTAGAAATTTTGAAATTCTTTATCATTATTTATATATGTTTATGTTGCTCTATGTGCTATTCAGAGTTCCAGGGTCGCAATATTTGTCAATTATTCCGATATTATTTTATTAATTTTTATTCATTTACTCAATCTCGCCCTGCAGGTTGCGGAGAACTTCCCTCAGGCAGCGGTGGCGCGGCCGTCAACCAAACCTGGCCGTGGTTGCGACATTTACTGTCCTCTGACAACCGAGTTCTGTGCACTGCAACCATGGTTACTTCTAATACACTCGTCACAGCTGCACATTGTGTCACCAGGTGCGGTGATTGAGTCATCATGAGGGTGATTGAGTCACTAAGTGGGTGATTGGGTAACTAAGTGGGTGATTGGGTAACTAAGTGGGTGATTGAGTCACTAAGTGGGTGATTGAGTCGCTAGGTGGGTGATTGTGTCACTAGGTAGGTGGTTGTGTCACCAGGTGGGTGGTTGTGTCACCAGGTGGGTGGTTGTGTCACCAGGTGGGTGGTTGTGTCACCAGGTGGGTGGTTGTGTCACCAGGTGGGTTGTTGGGCCACCAGGTGGGCGATTGAGTCACCAAGTGGGTGATTGAGTCACCAGGTGGGTGATTGAGTCACCAGGTGGGTGATTGAGTCACCAAGTGGGTGATTGAGTCACCAGGTGGTTTATTGGGTTACCAGGTGGGTGATTGTGTCACCAGGTGGGTGATTGTGTCACCAGGTGGGTGATTGTGCCACCAGGTTGGTGATTGGGTTACTAAGTGGGTGATTGAGTCATCAAGTGGGTGATTGTGTAACTAAGTGGGTGATTGAGTCACCACGTGGGTGATTGGGTCACCAAGTGGATGATTGTGTCACCAGGTGGGTGATTGAGACAACAGGTGGTTGAGTCACCAAGTGGGTGAATGGGTCAGCAGATGGGTGATTTAATCACCAAGTGGGTGATTCAATCACCAGGTGGGTGATTGAGTCACCAGGTGGGTGATTGGGTTCAGGGGAATTGTTAAAACACCGCTAAAGCACGCAGCAACTTACGTATTGCGTAAGTATAGCTAAGTACACGTAACTCCTAACGGTGGTGTTATCAAAACACTTACGCGCCAAGCTACGTTAAAGTAGTAGTACATAACTTTGCACCAGCTCGGAATTCCGTAAGTACATTGGAGTTACAAATAACTTTCGAGTTATTGTAGCGCTTGGAAATCATTGCTTAACTAACAACACAGTGTATAATAATGTATATTTATTGGCATCTTAACAATTGAATGTGGTCGTGCTATTAGTGACTAAATTTGAGTCGTGTTTATGTCAAACACAAATTTGTTTCATATTCGCTTCATAGATTAGAGGCGAATGGTAATCTTCAAATTCTTGAGTTTCACGATTGTTCAAATTATAATCCTAAAAGGACTATGTTAGTTCAAATAAAAATTTTTATAGAGCTCGATTCTAACTGCCACGATTACTATACTATTGTCTAATATTTAAACACTCGTGGAACTGCTCTCAAGATATATAGACAATAATTTTAGTAATAAAATGTTATATAATTGGTTTAAGGCATTAGTTTAGTCGTACATTTGTGCATTATTGTCCTCAGCCCGACAAAGTCATATTCAAGGCTTGCAGGGTGAAAATACGCCACTAATAATAATTTTTCTCTAGTTCTCCCTTATTTACAATTTGTTATGAATTTAGTGATTTGCTTTCTAAAAGAAGCATTGGTTAGTATTACTTATGTGCATAAGCGTGTTATATCCTTAATTACAGTTCTAAACTGCGAAACAATATTAAACTGATGCTCGAGGTCGTCGGAATCAGAATTTAAACTCGCCACATAGTTTTGAAGATACCATTATAGATTATGAAACCATTAAGAAGCCGGAAATTTTGATGATACCGAAATTTGATGTGCGTTCGCTAGACGTAACTTCTTCTGCCTAAGTAAATAAAGTTAAGTGTACTTAGCGAGATTTTTGATAATCCGGCCCGAGGTTATTCACGTTCGGCAAGCCATAATGCATGAGTTTTTGTACGCTTCATGCCTTATGTGTTTGAAAAAAAACTTTCTTCAAAATTTCACGAATATTTTTCAAGAATCTCGATATTTTTATTATAAAATTAATTTCCCTCAATTATGCTCGCTTTTGTAATTAATTCATATTAATTTTATAGTTCAGCGACGTCGCGCCAGGCGGTGAATCCATCACAACGCAGAGTGACTCTACAGAACAAACAGACTCTGCAGACTGTACAGGTTAGTCTGCTACGTGACAGCAGACTGTGCAGGTTAGTTTGCTACGCAACAGCAGACTGTGCAGGTTAGTCTGCTACGCAACAGCATGCAGGTTAGTCTGCTACGCGACAGCAGACTGCGCAGGTTAGTCTACTACTTGACAGCAGACTGCGCAGGTTAGTCTGCTACGTGACAGCAGACTGCGCAGGTTAGTCTGCTACGTGACAGCAGACTGTGCAGGTTAGTCTGCTACTTGACAGCAGACTGTACAGGTTAGTCTGCTATGCGACAGCGTACAGTGCAGATCAGTCTGCTACGTGACTGTGCAGGTTAGTCTGCTACGCGACAGGAGACTACTTAACCGTTATAAAAAAAAAAACTTTGGTAAAATTTTTATAATGAATTGAAACGCGCCGTTGCAGCGCCTCCACACCTCATGAATTCTGTGATTTTTAATCATGGCCACTTTGACAAACGATAAAGTATTCTTAATAAAGAAAAATGTTAAATAGTAGTTTTCAAAAAAATATATTCCTCTAACCCATAAATTTAGCCAATGTAGGAAATAACAATTATCACGACTCACACCTCACACTCATGAATCAAATAAAAATAATTGAGTAAAATTGTAAAATCATGATGCACTTTCAACACTGTAACTCACTTTTGCCGAACCACATTAGGCCAGAATGACGCGCACAAGGTCAAAGGAGCCTAGCTATTTGGATAAATATTCCCTCATTATCAAAAAATGAGTCACATCCCTTCTTTTTCCCTATTGAGACAAAATTCCACTTATTTCCTTGAGTGCGCAGGTGTCCCAGATCCACGTGCACCCTCAGTATCGCCCCGACGACTCCCGCCAGAACGACGTGACGATGAGTCACATCCCTTCTTTTTCCCCATTGAGACAAAATTTCACTTATTTCCTTGAGTGCGCAGGTGTCCCAGATCCACGTGCACCCTCAGTATCGTCCCGACGACTCCCGCCAGAACGACTTAGCGGTGGTCAAGATCCGCACTCTGTCGGGGGAGCGCTTCCCGCACGCGTGCCTCCCACCCGACACTCTGGCGAACACTGACACTGGAGGGGTCGTGAGTAAATAATTTGGACCTTGAAAACTTTAATTTGCGCTGAAAGTTTCTCGAGGCAGATAATACAAAAAATAATCAATTACGTGGATATACTTTAATATACTAAAAAACATTTCTCTAGGCAGATAATATAAAAATATAACTCGGTACTCACTGCAGTGAGTGACAGAGAGCGCATTTTCTCAAAATCGTCGAAAACGTGAAGTCACGGACAGACGGACGAACGGACGGACAGACGGGTGGACATGACGAGCACAATAGCGCCTTTTTCCATAAATGGGAAAATGCGCTAAAAATGCTCAATTTCATGAATATAATTTTCAACTCGCTTCCTCTCTCCTTCTACGACACCTGGGCTAAAACCAACTCTGGATGCATCGTGAATGATGGATTTAGGTATTTGAAAATGAAAATTTACGCAGTAAAATCCAAGAGCCTGATGAAAACATAAAATTATTAATTACATGAATGTTTTTCTCCATTCAATGTCACTGCCAATAAAAGATACCAATATGGATAATTTTTCCCAGTATAATAATATGGAAATATACCAAAGTTGAACCAATATGGCTCAGTTTACCTAGCTGTGGATGTCGGCTTCACGCCCAGTGCTCGGTGATCCTAGCTTATATATTTTAACTGATATTCTAATGATATTTTCGAAAAACAATGACGTGAACAATATGGGAAATTACTATAATTATATCGAGTACAATGCATGATATTATTATGACGATTGCATCGCAAGGTATTATGTGTTGATCATATTCATCATAGTATCATCTCACCTCATTATCAACATTATTCCCCAGGTGTTCCGTCTGAGGAATGAAGTGACGCCCCCCGGGGGATGGCAAGTGGCACAGGCCTCCTACTCCCCAACATGCCGCAGTCTGCAGTCTTCGTCCTGTGGGGTTACGCCAGCGCCGGGGCAGTTCTGTGCCCAGCAGGCTGGTGGGTCCCTACAATGAGCAGTTAAATAATTTTTCCAATCGCATCTGAATGAACAGTAGTATAAGTAAAGTATTTTCAAAGTTTATCCGTATGTAGAACTATCTAAATTATCAACTGACCTTGAAATTAAAATGGAAATAAACTTCAAATTAATTTTAACTGCCGTGTTTACCCCTTCAGAGATGGGCATGGGCCCAGGCTCCTCGGGCGGGCCATACCTGGTGAATGGGGCGGTGGGTCTACCGTACGTCTGGATGCTGCGCGGCGTATACTCAAGGCAGCACGTAGCGTCGAGCGCGTGTAACGCACAACACGTCTACACAGATACCTTCGTACACAAGACCTGGCTACTGAACTGTGCGCTGTACGACAACTGCTAGACTTGGCTGCTGAACTGCGTGCTGTACGACAACTGCTAGACCTGGCTGCTGAACTGCGGGCTGTACGACAACTGCTAGACTTGGCTGCTGAACTGCGTGCTGTACGACAACTGCTAGACCTGGATGCTGAACTGCACGCTGTACGACAACTGCTAGGCTTTGCTGCTGAACTGCATGCTGTACGACAACTGCTAGACCTGGTTGCTGAACTGCGTGCTGTACGACAACTGCTAGACCTGGTTGCTGAACTGCGTGCTGTACGACAACTGCTAGACTTGGCTGCTGAACTGCGCGCTGTACGACAACTGCTAGACTATAAAAACGTATTATTGCCAGTCTAGGGAAACGAATGAATCGTTTACGAACGTACGGAAGAAAAATGATTGTTATCGTATTTTGGGAAGGAATGTATTGTTTGCTCTTGCATGAGCTACGATACAAAATTTTCTGTGATAAAATTGAAGTATTCTATCCACTTGAATGAAAGGCGATGTCGGAAACAATCCAAAAACCGAAAATTTTTCCTTGACTAAAAATGAATGATCGATTGTTCTGAATTGTTTCTGGTTGGCAAAAGTGACGTGTGATGTTAACGGCACAGGTTATAATGAATGGAAGAACATGAGCTACTGTATGCCCAAGTACGTCATACGTACATTCTATATTAGTGTGAGTAGACTAAGAATCATGAGGAGAAGATGAGAACTTTTCAAGCATTGATGGTCATTCATATATTTGCCTAAGTAATACAACCAAAAAACATATGAATACCTCAACAGATAGTCGAGGTCAGGGATTCGTATTACTAACGAATTAGCTAAGTAGGATTCACGGATTCTATAGTCACGGCTTCTATAAAGAATATGGCCCTTTGTTCGGGGGATTGTTCAGAATGAAAACTCGTTGTGGATTGTAACGGTTTCTGAAAATAAAGAATGAACAATTTGAACATAAAATTAAGGTTATTCGAAATTATACACAATACAGAGAAAATAGCCAAGGTTAACAAGCAGTAAAATGATCATGACATAAGTAAATGATAACATACAAAATTGCTGAACCATATAGGGCATAATTTAGTTCAAAATGAATTTTGTAATCAATTCTGCTACTACATAAAAAGGTCCCAACCTTATGTACACGGGAGAAATATGTTCGGTAAAATTCTTTACAGCTTCTGTGAAATGATGTTACGAATTGTTGCGTGACAACCGAAGGGTTACGGACAATTATTGAACGACCCGAGATTACCGGACGAGTTCAGTGCGTCGTGCTCTTATAAAATAGAAGTGTCTGCACTGAAGAAATAGGCCCATGGCCTGTTTCCGATTCTTGAACTTTTCGTGACTTGATTCACAAGAGATCCGGCCTTTGGAACCTGATCTTTCCATAACTGACGATTGATTGAGATAGCTGCTTGACTTATTGCCTGGTCCGTAATTTGCTAGGCATTTTAAGACTGAACATATGCTCCTGCATAGCTTCGTCTAGTCTGTTTTTGAAGGCGCTCATACTCGGAGCGCCAACGATTCAGTGACGGAAAATAAGGGAGATGTTAGTCTCCCCTCACCGCCGCTTTCCTACTTCGCCTCTGAATAATAAATTCCTTAAATAATCCAGCTGAATTCTTCTATATTAAAAACAAATTATTTTGTATTTTAATTTATTTGCTCCAGCATTTCAGCTGTGAAATAATCGCATATCATATTTATCAGAACAAATAATTGACGAATTTTCAGAGTCACCTGAATTAATTTTAGTTTATTAATACAAGCGGCAGCACAGATTGAAACTAATATTTGTTCGCACAAAAATTAATTATGAATAAACGGACGCATTGCTTATTTCTGCTTCGATCCATTACTGTTAAAATATGAAATAAATACTGCAGCTTGATATATTTGATTTCATCCTATGAATACACTAAAAAAAATTGGCTCTTTCTCGATTTAATTACGATGCATGTTTTGCTTTTGCATGAGTCATCCTGACCCAGTTTGGCCAAACAAAGTAGGTCAAAATCAGTGCTCTCTGCTCGTGCTGCGGTCAACAAAGTGTGTCACTATTTGCACAATATGGCCTATTGATTTTTCTGGTCGTAGAAACTGGTTTTCTTATCAGTAAGTCGAAGTCCATAAAATCAAATGCCTAATAAAATTATGAAATAATTGCGCGATGTATGCAGCGCATGTATGGCGCGATGTATGCAGCGCATGTATGGCGTGATGTATGCAGCGCTATGCAGCGCGTGTATGGCGCGATGTATGCAGCACGTGTATGGCGCGATGTATGCAGCGCGTGTATGGCGCGATGTATGCAGCGCGTGTATGGCGCAATGTATGCAGCGCGTGCATGGCGCGATGTATGCAGCGCGTGTATGGCGCAATGTATGCAGCGCGTGTATGGCGCGATCGATGTGACGCTTCTTCTAAAATTCCCTCCCATTGCCGTTGATAGATGAAACGGTTGACAGGATTACCAGACGGAAAATGATCAGATATGAAGGGGGTAAGGGGATCATGAGGAATTTGATAGAGATGCGCTTATGTATAATAATAATGATAATAATAATAAGAATTAAGTGGTTTCAGCGTTTGTTGGGTCGAAGGCTTGTTGCCAATTCTTAACATCGCAGAACATCCACAGCTTGTTGCGGGCTCGAACTCGCAACTCACTACTTACATTTTTGCTTTGCTTAACCGGCTGGCCTCACCGCCCGACCTCCTTGCCGATTCCGACCAGAAACTGTCGCACAGAGCTGGGATCGAACCCGCACCTCTCTGCTCCAATCTTGCTCCTGAGTCGAGGTTTAACTGAGTAAAAATATTTAAGATTTCTATCATCTCACTATGCAATACAATAAATACTAAGCAGTAATAAATAAAAAATGAGAATTTTGCTTGTCCTCCTTCCAAATGAACACCTCACACCTAGCATTTATTGGCAAGGTGGCCAGTGGTTAAACTTCCGAGTACCAAGATTGGAGCAGAGAGGTGCGGTTTCGATTCCAGCTCTGTGCGCCAGTTTCTGGTCAGAATCGGCAAGGAGGCAGGGCGGTTAATTAAGCACAGCAGAATTGTAGCAGTGAGTTGCGAGTTCGTCCAGAACTCAGCTGAAACCGCTATTAATAGTTAACTTGCGTTGTAACTTGACAACGCATGTATATGTAGAGTCGGCATTTTTCCAAATTTGTGTCGCAGATATAAAATTTCGCAGTAAATTCTAAGCAAATTGCTATAATTACAATGTGAGATTTTTTGAATTAATTTTTACAATTTACATTTGAAATCTTAATGAACAATGAGTCAGCCTAATAATAACGAAAAACTTCGTCAGCCACTGTTGTCCGTTATGCCGGCACCATCGTTAGGCACTAATATTCTTGGGTAAACAAGCACCGCGGTACGAGACTACGAGAACATTGCTCTCAGAATTTTTCATTAATTATCACTGAAAGTTTTTGAAGACATTCAACAAAATGAGTTCGCAAACGTGGCTTCATTTTTTGCCATTATCTGTATTTTTTATCTTCCCTGCAACGTTCTTGATCACGTAAGTAGGTAGCTCGAAGAGTCAAATTTAACTTAGAACTTTAGTTTAGAAGCTTTGATAATGGCTTGATTAAGAATTTATGATAAAATAAAGATGAATTTAGAACTAAAAAATTAGATCCAAACTCCACTGAAACTCCTTATTGTCTACTTTTCATTGACATTCTCTATTACACAATAATTGACAATATAATTATTGATTAACTCAAGTCAAGCATAATCTTGAGTCTTGACAAATGAAAACTCAAAACAGGAGGTGAATCATGTCATTCATGTGCACAGTTACTTATCAATATGGTCATGATTGAAACATAAAACGGGCAAATTGGTTTGTACTTGTATGCCACCCATTCCAGAAGCAAGGCAAAACGTAAAAAACGCCCTTGCTCGTGGACAATCTTGACTAAATCTATTTCTATAGTCTCTTCTTCACTTAGCCTATAATAAAGAAAAATTACAGATTTTTTTTATTTGTTGAAAATTTTGCTTAATATTGTGGATTGGTAGCCAGGCCGTCTCCAGACGGTCAGACCCAGTACCTGGTAGATATATTTTGGATTGGTTGGATTTTTTATTTAAAATATAGATTGAAGCATGGTGAAATTCATGTGACTTGATTTTTCTCATTTTATTTGGAAATTCTCATTTGACAAATTGACATGTAACAAACACAAAGCATCAAAATATGGGGATACAATTTTTATGATAGGGTAAACGCGGTATATTCCGACACTTTAAGGACGCATCGAGAAATGAAAAACTATAAAAAAAAACGTATGCGTTACGTAAGTTCTGTTGCCTTCTAGATGGCCAAGACCTAGTGTTTTTGCAGTATTTCGACACGCAAATGTATGACGTCACCATTTCAACCATCAATGAACGCATGGAACTAAAACAAAGCTTAATATAAAGGAAAAACTAGAGAAGTGACGGAATTACCTACGATGTCGGTATATACCGCGTTTACCCTATGATATTATTAGTGATAGTCCTAGCATAAACACATATCTACCTAGTTATTTCAATTACTATTAGCAATCAATGTAAAGAGATTTTGTTAACCATACATTTGATAGGTCCTAGTTGACCAATTAGTTCTGAAAGTAGTTTTTAATTTTTAAGTGACATATATAGGCAAATTTTTTTTATTTAACACATATATTATGATATATGATAAGTAAGAATGTAAGATGCTTTGAAGATTCTTAATGTTAATAAAATTGAAATCTATGTGGAAAATAGAATTTTTAATATTTTTTAAGCATTGAATGACTTGAAACCTGAGCTTGGTTGCATTGCATTATCCATTAATGTTGAATAAATCTTTTACAAATGCCAATGTATAATTGCCAGTTGCCAGTTGCCACAGCTGTCAAGTGCATTGTCTTCAAGCACATAATGAATGCCTTTCTATTTGTTTGTTGTATAATTTTATGATTCATTTATAAATGATGATCATAAATTTATTAATTTATAATCTGTGTTTTAATACATTTCACATACATTTCACAGGTATTGCATATCAGTATTGCTGGGGCACACAGAGCCTGACTTCCCTTACATCAGTGACACTGGAACCTACTCTCCAGAGAGCTGTATTTTTGGACAAGCTGTCAACATGGGCGCTTGCTTGGGTATGCCTAACATAGTATTAGAACTTGAGCAATTTACTCCTGGGAAGTACAATTTTTACCAATGGGAGAAGCTAAAAAATGGGCTTGTGTTCATAGTGGTTAATTGGAGCCTTCAGCATCATGGTGAATAACAGGATTTTTTTATTTGCTGGTCTTGTTGCAATACCTATGTAATCATAAACCATTAATAAAGTTTAGCTTTCATGGTCTACAAGCTCATTTTATTGATTTGTAATTCCTCTAAGGGATTTAATAGGATACTTTCATTACTCCACAGGTGGGTAAGTAACTTTGTTAATAAAGCACAAATTTATAAGATTTAGGAAATAATTTATTAAGAATATCTTTACTATCATAACTTTTATTTCTAATCAATCCCTCTTTTGGTCATTGGCAATAAAAATTATAACTGTTCCAGTAATGCTTCATCATTTAATATGTTTGGATGTATTTGTTTGCCCAATTTATTTGATGTTAAAATTTGAGCTTTCAACTGTACTACATTACTTCGTCTTTTGTCTGTTTTCTTCACGTTTGCAGTGGGGCTGACAGTGTATGTGCGCTATCGACAGATAGCTGAACTCTACCAAACACATTCAACTCAGTCAAACATTCTCAGAGCTAACAGGGCTGCAGCATTTTTTGGATACATCTCTGCCCTGGGCATGTCTCTGTCAGCTAACTTTCAAGAGACAAATGTTATCAGTGTGCATTTAGTGGGAGCTATCATGGCTTTTGGCGGTGGTACACTGTATCTTTGGCTTCAGGTCAGCAGTGATATTGATGGCTTCCTGGAAAATATTGAATTCTTTTATTTATTCATGAAAATAATGGCAATTATTTCAAACTTAATTTGTGAAATACATATTTGAATTTTTTTATTTCTGAGCATAAAAGTATATTCTTAATAAACATATTTCATGAATAATACATTTTTGCAGGCTGTGTGTTCCTATGAAACTCATCCTCTGCTGAACAGCATGGGAGTGGCTCACTTGCGTCTTGGGCTTGGTATCATGTCTGCAAGTTTCTTCGTTCTGGGTTGTGTGTGTGCTGGCATAGCACACTCTCTGTTTGATGGTCAGTTGAAATTAAATATATATTTCTAATTTTTCCCCCAACTTGTCATTGTTAACCTATGACAAACTACCGTATTTCTTGCTTTCATTCAATATCTTGAATTTGATATGACTTTCTTTAATGTATTATTATTATTTGTGCATATCTGGAACTTGTTACTTCTTCATAAAGAACTGGTACTTATGTACAATTTCCATGCATAAAATTCATAAGAAATGTCCTACAATAGGTTGAAAAATGAGGATAATTTGAATGATACACGAGAACATTCCTGGTATTTATGTTGTCAAGTTTAGTATCATATCTGTACATCAGTTAACATTATTAATGGCAGTTTATTGTGCGAGGATCAATCAACAACTCCTGGTTTGAGGATCTTATATGCAGGAGATTCTTTAGCATCACAGGTCAATGGGATTTATTTATTGATAATTTTTTATTTATACCATATTGAAAATGTTGGCATTGTCAATTTGCATAAATACCTATATGTTTTTTTTATAGCCTTTGAGAAATGATATCTTCTCCTGACTTTCTTCACTCCTGAAATTCCAAGAATTAATTTACTTACCTTTCCAAACAAGTTTGTGCAGCAGATTCTCTTTCTGTGATGCTTTTTTTTACTTATATCATTGATTCATTCCAAATTATTAATTAGAGGAGGCATTTTGCAATTGTGATGATAGAATTTCTATCCTAATCCCTAATTTTGATGATAGAATCTGAACTAAATGTCAATTTTCTTATTTATCATGGAGAACTAGGTCACATACTTATTGAATGAACTTATATTTTTGTAGAACATATTTTTTAAAAATATTTAATACCTATAGGACTAACTACTAACCTAAACATATACAGGGAGTAGCTGACATTCACGAGCAAGTATGTTCAGATGTTCATAAAACTTCCTTCATAATTGTGACAGTGCTCTTACAAATAATTCTAGGTCTAATAGACTTCACAAATATCTACCTCCAAAAAATGTTTCTTGTCACAAGAATATATTAATGTTACTACTTGCAATGACTGTTTCTAATGTTACAGGTGTAGACCCCAGAAAGTGGTATCCCAGCAACGGTGGCTGGACTTACCACGTCATCAGCACCGCTTCAGAGTGGATCTGTGCCTCAACATTTGCCATATTCATGCTGACACTTGTGCCCGAATTTAGGAGAGTGTCCTTGAACAGCCCTGAGATATTCATAGACTTGGAAACATTATCTATCACCAGCATCCATGAAGCATGTAATTCCATCGAGTCCAATGGTGGAGGGTTAGCATCACGATCAATTTCGGATGAGTCTCTTGGACGTGCCCTCATTCCCCAAAACGGTGATAGAGACTCGCGTCAAGTCATCGTCGTCGACGATGTTGTTGGGGATGTAGTTTCCTGAGGCCGGCGCCTGTGGGCAGCTGCGTCAGGAGCGAGTGGGGATCTAAACACTTCTGTAGGTCCTTCCGTTGATTATGTTAGGTCGCCCCTTCTACCTGGTCCCAACCAAGGGACTGTCATTCGAGATCCTTTTGTTGCAGTTGAAGTTATTCGGCCTCTTGGAACCGTAGTTCAAACCTCATGCACCCACCCTGCTGTCACAACCACACTCGTAGCCAATTCTGAAGAACCAGGTTTTTCTGGCGTCCAAACAAACGAAAATGCTTCGTTTAGTGATGTCATGAGAAACTCTTTTCTCTCACTTTCCACAAAGATAAGCCACAAGAAGATGAAATCCGTTTTGCGCTTGCCACGCAACCCATTTGCTGTATCTGCAGAGACTCCAAGCGATTTAGACAGTCTTCTGGCGTCAGAGGCGTGTGAACCTGGAGAAGAATGCCGTACTGAAGAAGATCTGGTCATTAGTGATTCCAAATCTTGTCTGAGCGATAATCTTGGTACGGAAGATGTGTCATGCCCAATATTCTGTCCACCTGAAGCGGCGCTTGGCTTGGAGGATCAAAAGAATACACAATCTTGCTATTTTAATTCGCCAATAATTTGCAATCTTACTAAAGATGTCTTAGTCTCCCTGCCTTCTGAAAACCTTCCTAGTGTTATCTCAAATTATGTTTCTGTAGCTCCTGCAAGTCCTCAGTGTGAAACTCAATGCCCTTTTGGGTGTAAGGATACTCTTATGGACTCGAAATCTTTGCAAGAGGCTCAGTTGTCCGCGCAAGACATGATGGCTTCAGGCCCCGTGCCTGACTTGCTACTCGAATCTTCTCTGGTTGACAGCCGAAGGGCAGACAGCTGTGTTTGTTCTAGCATTCGTCCCTATCTTCAGCCTCTTGATGGCGTGGTTTCTCCTACTGTTCTTGGGTGCAGTCGAGAAAAGTTTGACCAGTGCAAGTTGGATTCAGGAGTGACTGGAGATTTTCCTCTAGATTTTAACCTTGTAATGCCTTCGCAGAGGAATGATTTCACTCCTTGCAATGTTGGTTCGGGAGTTCGCTTGTCAGCCTTCCCAGATTTGAGTGTCACCGAGCCCCTGGGCGACGCATACGTTGCCACCACGTCGTCTTCACCCATATTATGTGAAGCAGAAGCTTCTCATCTTGACTTGGCTGAGTCTTTTACAACAGTGGACTCAACGAATCCGGATCAGACAATTTTTAGCGGCAATTGTTTTCTTGAGTTTTCTTTTGAATCCGGGACTACTGCAGTCACCGATAAACGGACGCTTCATGAGTCAGATAAAGAAGTGACTGAATCTGGCCATCCAAATGTAAAAGATAAGGCAGCTATAGAAAGTTTGGCTGAACTCTTGATATTTCTAGGGAAGAATAAAGAGACGATCGGAAACGTTGATTTTGATGTGAACATCAGAGAAGATGTCTTAACGAATCTCATGCGAGTGGGATGCTCATTAGCTAGTGAAGAGACCCAAGCTTCCGTTGCACATTATCTTGTCAGTCAAGCTAATAAAAACGTTCTGCAAAGTAAGTCTTCCTCTCTTACTGCACTTGACTTGAGTGAGGTTCTCTCGAAAAGTGACGTGGATTTACCGAGATCTGCATTAAACGAGATGAGTTGTATCGATGATGCCAGACAAACGCTGAACCCGCTAACAAGAACTTCGTCCGTTACCGCTGACCCTTATCTTTTGAAAGAACTTGATTCTGATGACTTCACTGGATCAAATATTTTGAAGCAGCTCAGAGAAAGAAAGGAAAATACAATCATGGACGAATTTTGCTCTGAAGAATTTTTCCTGAAGTTATTGAAACTGCTGAAGTGTTTGTCAACGAATGGAATGGGTGCAGAGGAGTTGAAGGAGAGACTGGATAGGAACTCCCCGAGGATAGAACGCATTCCACTTAACATTTTAGTTGAATTAATTCAGTTGTTATGCCAGGAGGGCAACTGCGATTCTCTCGTGATACTCATGAATAAAGTTAATAGTGTTTTGGTAAAAAATCGTCATTTTGATACTTCATTTATGTCTAGTGACAAAGTGTCTTCCGAAAGCCCTAGAAGTGTTGAAAATTCCGAGAAAGATATCCTTCTTTCTAATAATTCAAAATGCTCTGAGGAAGATAAGCATTTGAATGAGAATCAGAAACGCTGCTCTGATGCCTCAGGGGCAAATGTTCCTTCAGATGTGGAGATCTCTCATCCTAATCTGTCCTTGGATTCAATTAAGGATGGAGAATTTGTGCGGAATTTTACTCTTAGATGTGCTGGCCCGGATACAAGCCTTGATAGCGTTTTATATAGCGATACAAACGCTACTGCAATACGGAGTTCACAAAGCCTCCCTGAATTTCTTTCACAGTCTCAAAATTTGCCCTCTACATCGTCTCGTTCCTGTTCTTTCTCTTCGGAGTATCAGCCTTGTTTAGAAACAGAGAACTTCCATACGCTACCACCCTGCAAAGCAAAGTTAGCGTATGAGCCAACTAAAATACTTAGTCATCCAGAACCCCAGAAATTGAACTCTATTAAGGTTAATACTTCTGATGCTAGCCAGGATGAAAAATTTTCAATATCTGCGGAATTTTCTAACTCGATAAGTGATCTGAATGCACCAGCAAATGAGGCTCTGGTAGATGAATCCCTTGCAAGCAATCGTAATTCAGAATTTCGATCATCTTCCTGCGAGGCCGTCCTTTCCTGCAGTCAGAATTTTAGTTTTGCCCAAAGCGTTGCTTCAGTTGTGCCTACTTCACGCAAATGTATTTGTCCCGTAATTCCCTCCTCTGCCGAGCCTTGTCCAGTGTCTTCTACTGTTGGAAGCTCTTGTAGTAATAGTGTGTGCTCAACGTCTCGTTCGTTACTTACTCGATCATGCACCGCGTCGTCGCCTGACATAGACCATCATTTTCCTCATAATTCGTCTACGAGTACTGCTTGCACCTCGTCTGGTGTTAACGAAGTCGCTGCTACCACATCTGCTGTACATGCAACTTCTGAAGTGCCTAGTAATCCTCCCGCAATATTGAGCGTAGTATCAGGTTTTCCGGCTGTGGTTGAAGGCGTTACTTCTAGGGAGAATACGACACTCGAGCTACACAGTGTTTCATCAGATGGCGATATGACGATCCATAAAAATGCAGTTGGTAATGCTAGTGGTGATTCTGTATCTACACAGGAAATGTCATCTGTTGTTGATGCCCAAAAAGTTGACACTAAAGATACGGAAGTCTTCGCTCAGGTAGAAACCTCAGCGAAAGAAGAAACAGATGCCACTCCTGGTTTTACATCACAGTGCAAACAAGAAAACGAAACCCCTACGGATAGCAGACATGAAACGGCCGATGGCACTTACACGGACAATACATCACTGGAACATGAAACCAAAGGTTCCATTTGTAAATCAACTGATGAAGAAGAAACAGACGTCACGGTCTGTAGCGAGGCATGTCACGAACAGGAAACAGACGCGCTTACCAGTAGCGAGACTCCCTTGGAGCAGAAAACTCCTGCTGGTGAAAAGCAACACAATAAAGATGAAAGAGAGGGCGTCGTGGCGCTGCAGCACGAGATCGTGCCTGTAAAGTACGTGCAGCTGTCGGTGAGCATCGTGCTCGCTCTCGTCGTGCATGCCGTGCAGTCACTCAGCGCGCTCATGCTCGAGCTTTTCCTCGACACGCACAGGCAGGGACCGTACTGACGTGCCCAAGCGCATGGCATCCACTTGAACTACGCTCACTTGAATTATATCCGATAGAATTACAAAGACTGAACGTATTCGAATCATATCTATTTAAATTACACCCACTTGATCTACAAACACTAAATTTACGAATACATTAATTAGGCCCGCTCGAATTACAGACGATTGAATTGCACACATTCGAATTACACTCACTGCAATTACACCCACTTCAATTGTACCCGTTTGAATACTAATCACTTGAATTTCACCTTAAATAACGTGTTCACGGTGCGCATTAGATTGACTTCAACAAACTGTTCATCGTCGCTGCTGGGGCATCATACCTCTTCCTCGATGAGGAGAACGACAAAAGACTACTTATGAACTTTGTTATCGTTAGATTTGTTATTACTCATTAGGAGGTACTGCAAAATTGTATGCATAATTTGAATCATATTCATGTTAAAAGTGGCAACAATTTTTCGTTAGCTTCCCTCTGACTATGTTGCATGGCAACATAGTTTTCATGTTGCGTTAAACATCATTCCACAAATTAGTTATGTGTTTTTATTAAAATTTTCTGTCTTTACGCATGACAACGATGATATTGAATATGCTTCTGGTCTGACTTATTAGCTTATATGGATCGAATCATTTATTTTAACTAGTAGGAAATTAAACGAAATATGCTCTAGGTTTACGACTTAGCTATCTATCGCGCGTCCATGTTAGGTAAGTATGGCTGTGATTATTACGTGGCGTATTGCTATAGTTTCCTATCCTACGCTTGTTATGTTTTATTGTGCTTCTCAATAACTATATTTTCCTTAAACTGACTATTTTGCGCGAAGCGTCTTAAGTGCCGATAGTCATTCTGATTGTAGGTCTGTGTCGTTCTTGTACGATGCATTTTGTTAGAAGACATTCCAGAGACACGAGTATAGGTATTTCTTTTAATTTCTTTCAAATTTCTTCTGGTTTGTTGGTGATAAATGAGAATAAATGGCTGTTGGTAAGGGTATTGCAATGATGTATTGATGTTCGCTAATTAGTTTTATCATTGCTGCATGCGAGACTTAATTAGAATATAATGAAAATGATACACTGATAGTGAAATAATTATTTAAAGGTAAAAATGTTTACATTACGCACTTGCTTAGTTATTCGCATCTTACTTTAATATTAGAGCTGGTAAAGACAAACGATCGATATTTTTTAGGTTGCACTGGCTATGCGTAATTGACTTCTCAGTTCAGTGCTTGGACTTTCTATACAGAACGTAAAACTCCTGCTGAATGCATCGGTTGTTAGATATTATGTATATATTTTTTTGTCAAGTTTAGTAAGCGTGATGTGTAGTAAGCTTTCTGGGTATACGTTCTCATGCCGTTATGAGATGCATGCCTCAGTTTAGCGTAGAGCTCAGCTGCATATGTATTGAGTTGGCTGCTTGCTGCTGATGCGTACATACTCTCGTGCTAACGTATCCATGGTACGAGTGACTTAAGTATTTTTCTGCTCTCTGCCCCTTCTTCTTTCTCACGTGCCTCTTCACTGCTGTCCCTTCTTCTTTCTCACGTGCCTCTTCACTGCTGTCCCTTCTTCGTTCTCACTTGCCTCTTCACTGCTGTCCCTTCTTCTTTCTCACGTGCCTCTTCACTTCCCTTCTTCTTTCTCACGTGCCTTTTCACTTCTGTCCCTTCTTCTTTCTCACGTGCCTCTTCACTTCTGTCCGTGCCTCTTGCCCTCTTCTTCGTCCTCACGGTCTTCTTAGTTGCCAGTTTTGAGATTCTTCGCTGCCTGGCAATGAATCTTTTAATTTCTAGTGCTATGTTTTTTTTTGTTATGAATGATGCCAGTAATTTATGACTACTACTGCATCTTTCTATAAAATGGGAATCTGTACCTGCGATCATTAATCATGGAAGACAGTATAATAAAAGTATATTCAAATAAAATTCGCGGGCTTTAGGTTCCTATGCCTTATAGTTTAGCTGTACACATGCTTTAGGAAATGCTAGACGTCCCTGTCGTTCTCAACATTATGTAGGCAGTGTTAACTGTTAGGTGATATGTATACTGTACCTGCATTTCTACGTTTTTGAGATGTTTTCCAATGGATACGTATTAAATTATTATTCATGTTCGTAGATTTCGAAGAATTTTGCTCACTCATTCGAGGCAGTGGAAGTCGAAAAGTCAATTTATTATTAGTTATTTCCTTATTAATGTTTATTCGTGGCCTAGACTGGCTGTCAGATCCCTAGCTATACAGCCTCTTTATTCTCCTTCTAGGCGCTCGTAGGCGCTATAATAAACAATTACGGATGTGCAATTTATATTGCTCTACAATAAAAATCGCTTGTATCTTAAAAGAATTCCCGAATACAGGAGTTATAGACTATAAAATTAAGTTTGCCTTATAATTACTGGATAATATTTTTATCTTATGTGATGCCTATCTTCTGCAGCCTGTAGTTTCTCGTATGCTTAAAACTAGTGCGCAATATGACATTGTAATCAATAATCTGCCTTACAGTAACGCCATTGCTTGTATCACAAACTTTATTAGTGTATTATGGCATATTAATCTCAGTCGCTTGCTTACTCGTCTACCTCCAGTTGGGTGTTATGGTCACGTAGTTTGTACTTGGCATAGTATATGTATATGCTAGAACTCTGTTTAATAAAGAAATTAATTTGTTTAATATGATTAGTACATTCTATGATTAGTACAAACATTCTTGAAGAACATTAGTTCATTGTATGATTGCGTATTGGGCCTAATATCTATCAAGAACAAGGTTCAATTGTGGAATAGGCGTAAATAAAACCTGTTTCTCTGCGCGTCATTCGAGCATCATGCATGAAGCTTCGCCTTTGTATGCGTATAATAAAAGTATTTTCTTTCACAAAGCGTAGTTCGTATGATTTTATTATGAAGTGTGAATATTTCTACGACGAATATACCAACAACGCAATGATTTACTATCGTATTATTATCATCTTATTTTCCAGTTATATAAGGGATATTCAATTCCAAGTTATTAGTCTCAAGGCTTAACTTGAAAAGTACGAGTGTTTAGTTTCAATTCAGGATCGAGAAAGACGAGACATCTTTCCAACTAATTTGCAATATTTTGCTGAGCTACACGCTCTAGGACTAGGTGCATAGTTCAGTTTTCAATGTTTAAAGTTACCCCCCAAAAATCTATTATTTTCTTAGAATCCTACGCTTCGGCAGAGAGGGCACCCCGCTGGGCGAAGGCTCACTCTTCTAACCACGAAATTCCTAACATTCCTTCATCGTAAAAGGGCTTTATATAAGCACTGAGCTCGAGTTTCTTGCGTGTTGCATGATAATTTCAAAGTCTAAAAAATCTAAGGAATTTTGAAAACGGATGGGATTATTTTAGAAAACCCCGCGATCATGTTGAGTTACAGGAGCAAGCAGCATGTTGAGTTCAGTAGACGAAGCTACGCTCTGCAAGTTCAAAGACAACATGGCGGTCAGTGCCTGTCGAGCAGTGTGTCTGTGAGGTGTAGTGATTCTGAGAAGCGCTTTACAACATGAAGGACCGCTGTGAGCCAACTTGAAAGCGGGTAAGTTTTTTATTTTGTTATAATCTATGAAAACTCTACTTGTAATGGATCAATTAGATTGATCATCGATGAAAACCCTACTTGTGATAGATCAACTACATTGAATTCGGGTTCTAAATACAAAACAACAGCACGCAAGTTCATGTAATATATCGTGGTATTCTTCGGTTTCTACTAGAATGATAGATTCGATTTTACTTTTAGCATGAACATTATACAAAAGTGAAGGCTTAATAGTTACTCTGAGCTGTAGTTTTGGTTAGCACGTAGAATTAGTTGATTTTTGACGTTCCTGAAGCATGCCTGTGATGATGGATGTGTGCTGATCCTCGGTTCCTAACTAGACGCGTCCACGCGCGCTTAGTTAACATTTCTTTTCATTTCGTTCGTTAAGATTTCATGAATTCAATCTTCTCCTCCGTTGCATATTTTGTTAAATCTACTTTGTATCGATATTTGGTTTTAAGATTTATACTCGTTTTTTTTGCAACGTTCCTCAGTTTCATCGTGCATTTGATTGTCAGTTTGATCATAAATGAAACGTCTTTACTTTGGAGGCAGAAATAAGGGGGGTAAAGGGGTGCCCTGCTCACAGTGCTCAGCCTGCTGCCGCGAAAGCGCTGCTCAGGAATTTGTTCGAAACTTTAGTGTATGAGATTGAAAAAGCCTTGTTTCACTTTTTTCGAGTACAATCTATGTGTCAGTGCGTGATGTATTAGTCCATTTTAGTATAATTTGATCGTCAAGTGTGAAGAGTTTATTTCGCGATGAAAAATCTTGATTTAGTACATTGAACTTTAAATATAATTTAAAATTTATTTGCAGTTCTCGAATGGATATGAAAACCTTTAATTTTCAAGTAAATTAATTCTTTGCATCGAGTTTCATGTCTAATATCAGTACTATGCATTGCTACCGCATTATCCAATTGGGCTCATTACCAGAGCAGCGTTGAAGTTGCCGTGTGTGCCAGCTTCGTGAAGTACATTCTTTGAATAACGTACTAAGAACTTAAGTTGTCCTAGCTATATGCCCGTAAAACATACGTTTTACTCGTAAATACGAGTTTCAAAATCAATCATCACAGGAGAAGTTACCCAGTGAAAATTTACAGACGCGGCAGCTTCTGATTTGGATTACCAGAAGCTGGGGCGACTCTAAATTTTGTTAGGGTATAGTCTCAGATATGACATTACTGGAACCGACTCGTCGAGAGTTACAAAGAACTTTATTTAGATCGAGGATGTTTAAAACAATTCAAGGCACCAGGACTAGCGGCAAAAAGGTGTTATTAGTTCGATCAGTAATGGTGACCGTAAGTGTGATTGCAACTTCCAAAAATGACCGCAGGATTCTAAGTGTGTAGAAATATTAGATTTTATGAAATAGTTTTGCTCATAGTTTTGTAAGTTAACAAAGAAAACTAAATATGTCATTGTCTATAAGCGCTGGACTTTCGTCAATCTACAGGATAGAGATTTCCGTACGCTAAGTAGAATATTTATTATTGCACAAACTCGTTTATGTAACGCATATGTTACGTTACTGTGAAACGTTACCTACGGATTTTTATTCATCAGTTTTTCGAAAAATCATTTCATTAGAATTTTTTTACGTGAAGATTTCATGTTTTATATCACCTTCATTCGTAGTATATCATATTTTTCTGGTTAGTTTAAGCCACAATTCTATCTCCTTTACTAATGTTATATGGTTCGTATGATTCTCATTCATAGGTACTCATTTTCGTTATAGTTCCTACTACCCTTATTTAAACTCGTTCAATAATATTATGTTTCGTATACGGTAACCCTCATTCACACGTATTCCTTTTATGGTTTCTTTGATCCTTATTCCTAATAATTTACTAATATTATGATTCGTTTGAATCTCATACCTCGTTCCTATGGTTATTTGTTCGACCCTTATGCCTAATCATTTAATATTATGGTTAGTGGTATCACCCTTATTCGTAGTAACTGATTCATATTATCATTCGTCTGCACAAGATTCTTTGCTCTTACCGAATATTTCCTTACCCTGACGCGAGGAGAGGTAGGAAAAGTGCAAGTAGGAACAGGAGGTGATGGCTTCAGAGTTCCTGCCTCTGTGTGATGTGCTGTTCAACATCATCTCCCTGGCATCATACTTCTGTGATGTTGTCTTCGATTGCGTCACGGTCTACACTCTCTACGACAACCGAGCACCACAATGGTTTTACGCATCGCTGGCCTGCGTCCTGGGGTCTTTATTATTGTGCCAGGTATGACGAACAGTGTTATTACTTAATATTAATTAGTATTATTATATTATTTCTTAAAATAATTTATTCTTAATCTACTCATTTTATGCCTCCCTGGCCTGCGTTCTAGGGTCCTTATTATTGTGCCAGGTATGACGGACATTACGGTATTATTACTTATTATTAATTACTATTATTACATTATTTATTTACAGAATTTATCCTTAGTCTACTTAATTGTCTCTGTCAACTGATCTCAGATTCTGCACCTGTTGTAAAAATTCAAAATAGATTATTTTCAATCAAATCGCGCTCATATTTGGAATTTTCTCCCTTATTTTCAATCGCATCGTGTTAATAATAGAAATTTTGGCAATGATTGTCAATGTGATCGTCTCTGCCATAAAATACCTATCATTGCTGTTCGTTCATAAAAAAATACGCATTAAATCTGAATATACGCCGAATTTCAGATTAAGAAATAATTAATAAATGTCTGTAGAATATAATGTGGTATAAGTGTAAATTTATATTCATACCACAAGAGCATCTGTCCTATTTTTGAATGAGTATTAATAATTTAACTAAAAATTTTACAGTCAATTTATAAGTTTCTTCTAACCCCCTCACAGAAGTTCAAACATACGTTGCCTTTTATTTATCTGGAACAAGAATACTCGTTCACATTCCACCTGGAAAAGCTCGAGTGTCGCTAATTTCTGAGGTGACATTACTCATAACAAACATGCCAAACTAAGTTATTTTTTTAATATTGGCGGGAATCTCAACAACTTTTTCCTGGGGGTAAAGAAACTGGCAATAATTTAAATAAACGGCCAATAATTTATATTTTACATCAGGTATGTTCGTTGACATGGCATCTGGACTCCTCAAGACGCGGCAAGCGTCTGAGCTCGTGGCTGCTAGCGCTCCAGCACCTGTTCCTCGGAGGCGTGTTGGTCCGATATTTCTTGTTGTTCCTGCCCGTAGACTTGCGGCACGTGAAGCACGAAGTACGTGATCTATGCGTGCTGAGAATGTTGCATGGCTTCTGCCAAGCGGCACCGATGCTCCTTCTCCAACTTTTCCTTATCTGGCAAAAGCCTTCGGCTTCCGAAATGACAGATCTCAACATCGTATCGACAGCGTTGTCGCTGTTCAGCGTGTGTTGGGCGTTGGCATCGTTCAACAAGAACGTTAGAAGCCATAACGTGCATCGTCTGGTGTTGACGTGGCTTGGAGTTATCTGTCAACTTGCCTGGAGACTCGGCACTGTCACATCACGCTGTCTGTCCCTCACTGTCTACGCGACTGTCTATGGCTTTTGGGTGTTGCTCGTAATCAGCCTGCATTGGGTGACCATGTTTCTGTGGCTAATATCTCCTAGAAATGTCTTCCATGGGGAAAAAATGCCAATACTCAAGAAAATTGGTCTTTCTATGCTCATAGCATTCTGCTACATCTTTTGCTACATTAACCTGCAAGAAGTGAATTCCCGTCGCAAGATGACAGCTTTTTACCTGACCATGCTACTGGAGAACACGTTACTTGTGTCCGTGTGGCTAGGGGGGCTGCGTGTACGGCCCTGGTATCAAGACTCTGTCACTGCGGTGGCTTTCCTCTCGTTCGCGCTCGGGATGCTCTTCATGCTGCTATACTACAGACATTTTCACGTACGCAAACTACAACAAAACTACGGCGCGTCTGCTACAACAGCCGTGTATCACTGCACAGGTGTGACTTGAACAAATTAGAATATTATTAAACTCATGTGACTGGCTTCATCACTGTGTAAATATTTATTTATGAACCATTGCTTTCAGAATGTTGAATATAGTATCGGTTTTTCTTTTTATTATTAGTGTTCATTCAATGTTTTAACCTCCACTTTTAATATTTTAATTAGCAAGACATGCGTCTTATTTAAAAATGTCAGTAAAGTACCCAGGCTGTGAACTGAATTTCATTAGTATTCTACATATGTTATTATAACTCACCATAATAAAAATTATCAATGGTTCAGAGCTGAGCGGCCATCGAATCGCCGAATTATACAAGAATTATTCGGTAATTTTGAGTGGCGTATAGATGATCACGTGACACAATTATTACATCGGTATGCCTCTCGCGAATCATTACCTGGGTATTAAGTAAAATATTTTTACCTCTGTCCAGGTTGTCGTATGGATCAGTGCATGGACAAGTCACATCGCATGCCGTTCCCATACTACCTTAACGAACTCTCGGCCAGCGACAACAGCACCATTGCTTCTGACCATCGCACCACCAAAATTAACAACACAACCCAACGTCCTTTCAGCTACAGGTCCAGGCTGCAGTACATGCATCAAGACACACTCCAGGTTCCAGGAGTATTTAATTGTCGATTCAACCCAGCAATTAAGCGTAAGAAGAAGAAACCAACGAGCTTCGTGCCTCAGCCGCCATCTGTTATGGTGTCCATGAATCTTCCCAATAACGTCGTGGCTAAAAATGCGCGTGTTGCACCTTTTTGGAAGCAGCCTGTTTCTTTAGCGTCCAGTGACCACGAAGGAAGCGTTGGATCACGCGTCAACATTCAGCAAAAATTACAGGAGAAGAAGCAACAACAAATTGCTGAGCTACATCAAATCGAAGAAGAAATTCGGTGTGGGAAATTGACAAGGCCGCACCTTAATGATATATCAGAGTCCGGCACTTTACCTCAGCCTATTCCTAAGGAGAAAAAACAGCCGTGGGTTCAACCTGAGCCCATTAGGTGCCCATATTTCGTGGATGAAACCACAAGCCGTGTCCTGAGGTCAGTGCCACGTCAAAATCGATCACAAACTCCCGAAATTTTACTTGCCCCACACTACCTTGAAAACTCGCGTATCTACTATGAGTACCAGGATCCACGATGGAAGTATGGGAATAATTACCATTTACCATCTGACGATGTTAGTAATTCCAGTCACTCCAAAAGATCGACTACCAGAAGAAACTGTAAGACTCCCGACAAGTTTCTCGATAACAAAGACCGCGAGAAAGTTATTTATAAGTCGGCACGAGCGTCGTCCGATCTCGATAGCCAGATATCCTTACCGAGATCCTACACTCTGCCGAGAGAGTTCAAGTACTACCGAAGACCAAAAGCTAAAAAGACTGTCAGGAATGACCACTTCCTGACCTCTACCAATTCAAGTGACGGTAAGTTCTCTGAAATTGTTGGAAAATAAATTTAAATAAATCGTATTTCGTAAACTGTTTCACGAGCTTAATCTTGTCAGTTTGATTCCAGGAATATTTTAACCTTGCCTACCTCGGATGTTGGGTTTTTTTACCAAAATCCGAAAAAAAGGTTTAAGCCTGATTTTTCCCTGTCTCTGATATATTCAATCGGCATTAATTTCCGATCATCAATAATGATAGAAGTGATGATTGGGATCTGTAATTAAATTCATATATTATTATTCACTGTGCAATGTTCATCATCTCTTTGTGCAATGTTCGTCAACCTTAATTACATGACTTCTTTACAAAGGACGTTAAAGGATGTTTTAGGATGTTGTTGTGGATGATCGTGTTTGGCTGCGGTGGTAGAGTATTTGGTATCTGAATGGATGAGGTGCTTATTACTTCCTGACCTGTACAGTCAAACAAATTAATTGGTTATATTGTCCTAATAGTGACATAGGTACTTTCTGCACCTAGTACTGATACGCACCCTGGCACGGGCAAAACTGGGTCACGCTGACCCACACAAAGGCAGAAAAATTCACTCAAATAAAAAGAATTGATTTTATAAAAAAATATAACTCAGTACTCACTGCAGTGAGTGACAGAGAGCGCATTTTCTCGTCGACGAAAACGTGAAGTCACGGACTGACATTGACAGACGGACGGACATGACGAGCACAATAGCGCCTTTTTTTCCATAAATGAGAAAATACGCTAAAAATACACACTAATTTCCCTGAGTGTAAGTTTTGTCAGACTTTGTCCTAATATTTCTCTTGGTTATCTCAGGAGACGTTGACTCGTGCGACGACGAAGAGCTGATGACGCAGCAAGGAACACAATGTCTTTCTAACGCACAACCAAGGTTTGTACAACCTCACCACCGCCATAACCACCACAACAACCATCATCAACTACAAGCTTCCTTATCATCAACGCCTCCTGAACAGCTTGGCCAGCAGCATTTCAGACGACACTATCATCACAATCTCAATTTAAACCGGAACGCTATTATGGCGGCAACGGTTCCTCCGCAGCCGGAGCTCCGGAGTGCCAACTTCTCGCAGCACGCGTCGCCTTACAATCTCCATGAAACTGAACTTTAATTCCAAGAGAAACTTTGAAGTTTTATTTTGACAAATAAAACCTCAAACTTTCCCGTAAACTAGTTTTGAGAAAAATGAAGTTTTATTTATAATTTACGGGAAAAGCGTCTTTAAATGATATTGTCGTTAGTTAATTAATCGTTAATCTGTCTCTTTACGAAATTCAATTTCATCCTTATGGATGTTTAATGTTTGTTGAAAAATGAACCATTTAAATAAGTGCTGAATATATGAAAATTACCTAAAGTTACTTGTTCACCAGAAAAAAAGAACACATCTGCTGGATAATGAATTACCATAAACGAAAAGATTGAACTGTTAAATTCTCTAGAATAACTAATCAAGGGATCTACTGCCTTGTTGTTGAATATTGAAAAATTATTCTTTTTGCGTTTATATTGTAGTAATAAGTTTTTCTGTTTATGTTTTGTGTACACCTATCCGCCTGTACTACAGACTTTGTATAGTTTTGCCTAAGATTAGGCGCTCAGGGACTCTAATTTTTACGTACAAATTTTAGGTGAATGTATATAGCGGTAGAAGACAGTGTATGAAATGAAAGGTTAAAGTGGCTAACGGTAGAACTGTTCCCTTTTTTGTGCAATGTGTAAAAATCGTACAGACTTGTATTTGCATACTTTATAGCTGGCTATCTATGAATGTTATTTGTTGCATTAAACCAATGACTGAACCGAAGCGAAGAAATAATGTGGACAGGAATGCTGTTGAAAATAAGTAATATCACTAAGTTTCGGAACGACTCGACCAAAATTTTTTGTGAAGCAGCAGCAAGTACTTGATGAGTAATTTGTAATTACAAATTGAGTAATTTGTTGTAAAATGACATTGCCTCCGTCGTGGTCAGTCCCATGCTTGTACTGCTATTGCTGTACGAGCTGTACTGCTATTGCTGTACGAGCTGTACTGCTATTGCTGTACGGGCTTAGCTGTACTGCTATTGCTGTACGAGCTGTACTGCTATTGCTGTACGAGCTGTACTGCTATTGCTGTACTGCTATTGCTGTACGAGCTGTACTGCTGTTGCTGTACGAGCTGTACTGCTATTGCTGTACGAGCTGTACTGCTGTATTACGTCACCAGAGACAACAATAACATAAAATATTAGTAATTAATTTGAATGTGATGGGAGAAAAACATTTCTTCAATATAGATATTTCTCCATACTTCAAAAGGCCTCTTGAGCTTTCTTGATGCCTCTACCTGAAGGAAATTTGGCACCATTTCATGATGAAGGGATAACAATGCAAAAGTTTCAGGAAGTTACATTATTTATCTTCGCTTCGTTGTTGGGTTCAAATCCACCTTTCCATTCAGCTGAAAACTTTATAAGTGTGCGATGGACGAATTCTAAATACACATAAATATTATGAGACGTATTATAAAAATATACCCATTACAAGAATCATCTTCTGTTGTACGATGTTGACTTGGTCGGGATTTCTCCTTAGCCCGTGTCCGGGAACTTGAATTATTTTATATTAATAATTAAAAATAACTCAAAATAACTTAAAATAACTCAATAATTTTATATTATTGAGTTATTAAGCGTTTCGGAAATTTTGCGTGCAGTAACAGTAGAAAAAACGCTCCTTTATGAGAAAAATTCATAGTATTCGTTTCTACATTTTACGCGTACCTGTATTCAACTTGTGTAACTTGTCGTTTTTCATTTTATTGTTGATGAAATACTATAAATATTTTGCAGCAACTAACCATCTGAAAATGAATACTTAGCGACATTTTAAATATCAATTATATTCAATTATTTCCATTACTTTCAAGCCAGTGACTGAGTGTCACTCATTATGTACGCATGTTCATTCCAGTGGCCAGTTTTTATATCTTCTTTTGTATAGCACTTTCAATGCCTCTTCTATTCATTTTAAACGACGTACTATATTAGCTTGTGTAATAATTAACTCGACTCGGGAATTTCAAGTTGATTTTATTTTTTTCTCATCTAAATAATAGTCTGACAGAGATCAGGCTGGTGGGCGCATTTGTCGCCACAAGTCTTAACCCCAACTATAAAAAAAATGTAAATAATATTAATAACCTTACCCTCAATAAATTGCCTTATTTCATTGATGATTCATCTGTTAATGACTCAATTGAAATTTTGCCATTTGTTCATGGAAAATCACATATAATTTGATATATATAAGCTACGCCTACCTATTTGCTGTCGATCATTAATGTTGATGTGATTGATAACGATGTTTCGAAGATATTTTTTAAGTTTTCTCTGAGTTGAAGTTATATTGTATCAATACATTTTCTACATGCAGTACATTATTTTATATCCTACCTTTTAAAAGTTATGCTCATTTTTCTATCTGCTCTATGATGCCTTAGCTTAGAGCCTCGCAAAGTGAGCTATCGTTGTGGTGGTGAGAGTCTCTGTCTCTCGCACCCAGCTCCCGGGTTCGAGTCCCACTGAGGACAAGTTCTACCGGGAAGCTCAGCTCATGGTCAACTCAGCCATTCATCCAACTCTGGTTGATAAATGAGTACCTGGCTTGTCCAGGGTGTTGTGTAATGCAATAAAATGGTTCTGACGGGTCAGCGAGCCAGTGATGGTCGTAGAACTACCAGTGGCACCAAGTGCCCGGAAAAACTGACCTATCACCCCCCCTCCCTAGTCGCAATTGCCCATCCTACCAGGATGGGCAATTACAACTACAACAACAGCTATCGTTGGCAACAGTGGTTGGTTTGACCTAACATCGATTTGTTGCAAACTGTAGCTTGATTTGTTGTAGTGGGACGTTTTTATCTCACACTGAACTGATGAAACGATATTTTTTAAGTTTTTCGTTGACGCTTCCCTCCTGCTAATATGGAGAGGTAGAATGCAACAGCCAGGGTGTTGGCTTCCTTATTTCCAAAGTTTCAACTCCTTTTCAGTCAGAAAAACATAAAACTACGGAGAATTTAATTCAACATTCTTTTCAAAGAAACTGTCCGTAGAGATGTATTCTGTATAGAATACAAGAAATTGCGCAAATTCTGTTCTCGGTGAAAATTGTTATCGCTAGGTAGAAAAAGTCGAAGAGGACTTTTCTACAGTAAAATGAAGCTGGCTTTACGAAACTGTATCGCCATCTCGTAGATATCAGAGGCTGAGGAACAGCGAGGCGTGCCGAGGTTGGAAGCATGACAGAGCCCTCGAGTCTCCTACTATCATCAATCACAAGGAGGGGACGAAGCAGCGAAATGCTTAACTGTGAAGTGGTCACAAGGAGAGTGACCGAGCAACGATGCAATTCCGTGACAACAGTAACGAGAGGAAAGTAACTACCGGCAGCTTCGATCCGAATTGTGCGGAACTTGAGATGCATGGCAAGAGGCAAGCTCTCTAAATTGCATCTTAATTTGTCGAAAAATAAAAGTCTGCGTCCTTATTGTAGCTGGATCTACTACAGGGAATTAAATGTGTTTTTACATAAAAATGTACTCCACCTGTGTAAGCAAATACGCTGTTTAGTTTCCATTTATACACCATCATCAGTCTCCATGCCCAAAATAATTTAAACTGTTGCTTTATGAACGGAGATTGCGGTGTGAACTTGGTTATGTTGTCATATAATAAAGGACTGTCTTCACTGATATTTTTCTAGCTCTAAATAAAAGATCTCGTGTATTCTGGTTAAATCATAACTTGTCTACCAGAATAATTAATTGCGAATGCAGCTCACTATTGCAAATTCTTTCTAAACCAGACGCCGTTGGATTTCTGCGTTTTAGGATATGTAGGGATAACGAGCAGTCGAGAACCCGCGAAATTTGCAAACAAGAAATCGCAAATTTGCAACAGCGGCCCGAGAGAGAGTCAGCTGCGTTCATCGAGTAAACATCTCTAGTGTCTATCGCCCTTGATTCCGTAAAGTTAACCGGTAAATAATCGCCTATAAATCACATATTACTTGATCTTGGACTACTATATATACCACGAGTATATTTAGTGAAGGGTCCTTCTAGCGTCAAGAACCCGGCTGGCTTTCTCTCCCCTCCCCCCCTCTTCTCTTCATGAGAAGAGGCAGTAGGTAGGAGTAGGTTTGTGAGCCAGCCAAGGTTAGGTAGTTAAAATTCTTGCGTTGTATTTAAACATTTTTATCATTTTCTATTAAGGCTGAATTATTCTATTGAAACCTTGGCTACATCATTGTGTAACTTGTCATCTGTACTTATTATTATTTTTTGTTATTATTAATATGTTGTCATCTTTTAGAATCAATCACATACTGCAAATGTGTTAAGTTTATGTTACATGTCCCAAACCAATTAGGTAGAACTCCTGTATAGTTTTGTATTTGAATATAACCATTGCTTTTGTTTTCAATATCAAAACTTGTTTGGCTCTGTTATGCATTGACAAATTGCTATGTAAAATTGTTACATCAATACCTTTGACCAGTTTAATGTCAGGTAGGCTAAATGAACTAACTGTAGGTGTATGACCTAAAAACTTAAGAAGTGTGAGAGATGTATGATCTAAGTTATTGTACCTATACTAGTCCACCTAATTTTGCGGCCAAATGCTGGGCCGAATTCTGATGAGGAAGGGCCTTTGCTTTTTGATATTTTTAATGCCCTGTGTTGCTTTTCTTTTGCTTGCTGTCACGCTCAGCCATTGCGTCCACTGACTTTTCAAAAGCAAAAATAAGTGGTCTGACCTTCATGCCAAGAGGTCCAAAACTACACAAGCTCTCAGGCCCAATGGTCATCCTTGCGGTTGTCCTGTGGCTTTAAGTCTACCCTGCGTGGACATCCCGAAAAGAAGAAGAAGAAGCAACAGCGGCCCAAACCTGGGTTCTTCTTCACCCATATCAAGTCTTAACCCGTCAAAAATCAACCGAAGTTGCTTGTATTCTAATCGTCCGCACAGTCCAATTCAAGCCCACTCACTACCTACTGTTATTTGCCATAACAACTTGGATGTTGTTGATGAATGATGATAGGTATGATAATGATTAATGAATGATGATATGATAATGAATAATGACTACTATTGACTAGCATGGCGCAATTATTGATATGATTGGTGATAAGGTTAGCAAGGAGCACAAAATTTTTTTCTTCAACCGTAATGAAAATTATATATCTGAAAAGAGAAAAAATATAAAGAATTACACATTTTTTCCTTTATTCAGTTAGCTACTACGTCCCAAGAAAAATTGATAATTTTTTTACACTATTTTCGGAAAACACTATCATTTCTAGATTTCCTTTGAGCCAATTTCAAAGAATTTACCACCATTAGGATTTAGGAAGCTCTTGTTGCAGGCTGCCACTGCCACTCTACCAGGCTAGGTAGCCTATCCTACTCTAATAAAAAAATATATTTTTTTGAGACTTTGACTGCAGGAGGGTGGGGAAAATAATAGAAATGGGTGTGACTGTGACTGATACTGATAGATAATTATAAGTCTTATAGATATTATCTGAATGGTATAAAAGCACCAAAGGGAAGAATTGAACAGAATAAATTCCAGTTTCCAGCTTGCTAAATAAATAATAATTAGCTAGCTAAATGATATATGTATAAACAGTATAAAGAATGACAAATAGGCTGAAATAGCTAGGTACCTACCTAGACCTAGGTCTAGGATGATTGATGATAAATACCTTAATGAGAAATGAATGATCAATGAATGATACATCATTACATGAAGGATGCAGATGGGTTTATTGACAATTGATGTGTCATGTGTTCATAATTTTTATACTATGATAGACAAATGATGGGTAAATAATAAATAAATGATTGGTTTTGGTAGCTAAATGATAGGCCAAGCTGCAAATGATAGGTAGGCCTAAATTATAGATATAGGAAAATGAAAGAATCAGAAAGATAAATGAGATTGTGAGAAGTAAATGATGAGATAATGATAATAATTATAATATAATAATGAACAACAATAATAAATTAATAAAATATGTATTAGTAGGCTAGTAGGTACTGCATCATAAATGCCAGTGCCAATGTGCCATTGCGGCTGCCATTCACACAGCCTGACACAGGCGTTACTGCTGCATTAGACTTGTCTTTTTGCAACTTTCACCATTACTGTTATTGTTAATACTGTGCAACTAGCTGCAGAGCTTTGAAATTTGAAGAGCATGCTCTAAAAAGTGTAATTTTGATTTCTTATTATCATTCATTAACAGCCCCATACAATATCAAAGTTTGTTTTAGGACAAAGTGGTACTTTTTGCAAATCTCAGCTAAGGAACTAAAGGAAGTAGATGATAGAAATTTCTCAAAAAACAAGATGGTGTCATCGCAATTCAATTTTTTTGTTCTTTTTCAAACATACATCAGTCAAATAAAACTACCACTCTACCAGGTAGTTGGGTGGACTGGAACTTTTAAAACTAAATGCCTTTGCTGCGCTGAAGAGAAAACTGCCTGTCTGCCAGTTGGGTTGCTGTGTTTTGATCTGCAGCTGGTTTGTGCACATACTTGCAAAAGCTACAATTATAGGATTGGCAGTACTTATTGGTTTTGGCCTTGGGGGAAAGGGGGGGGGGGGGGGAGCGCAGTGCCATGAGACAGGACCTCTGTCAAACCAAAATTAGGAATTTAAATAATTTTATTTTAGATCAATGACAATGGTCACCTAAAATTCTTATATTTCATCTGGAGATCATCAAAAGACATGTGAATCATAATGCTCAATTTTATTATTGATTATTGTATTATTATATATGGTCATGTGTAAGGTGATCTATTTTATTTTGCAGATTACTAATTTTATTTTGCAATGGAATCTCTAGAAGGTGATAACAGCCATTCTAGTTCCAGTGATGCTGGTATGGATTTAGACACGGCTAGAGATGCAGAGGCTACTGAGGCTGCAGAAGAGAGAGAGTCACTTGATGTGGCTCTTGAACAAGAACCAATTGCTGATGAAGATGTGGCAGAAGTCAATGATGAGAGCAATTTGGGTCTCAAATTTCCTCTGGCCCGAGTAAAGAAAATCATGAAAGCTGATCCTGACCTTCATCTGGCCAGCCAAGATGCTGTTTTCCTCATTGCCAAAGCAACTGTGAGATAATTTTTCTCTTTTCCTGAGTGAGGCAAAACGTGCTGTGAATATTTATTATATTAATGTATAGATGCTGTGGTGTACTTTGAACGTGTTTAGCTCTAGGTGAATGAATATAATGATTTCTAGAAGTTTTCCTTTAATTTTTATTCCAAAAACTAATCAGCATTTCAACATGTATGAAATACGTTCTTGGATTGACATCCCATATTATCTGTGTTTTATTTTGAAGCTTTCCAATGATGAATTTTTCCTCTGTACTCTAAAATCTTAATGACATTGTTTTATGTGCAGGAGCTTTTTGTGGAGGTAGTTGCTGAGTCAGCTCACCATCACACCATGAAAGCAAACCGCAAGACCATCTCAGGCCGAGATGTTATGTCCTGCATAGAGCTTATTGATGCCTTGGCTTTTCTGGATGGTGCCCTCAATGATTGATGTTAAAAATAGATTATAGAGCTTCAATATTCACTTTTACAGTTGTCAGATTCTTGAACTATCTTAACATCTCCAATAACTATGTTATTGATAACTCATTTGTTTTCAGTTGCATTACATCCTTCTTTTTCATATTTTCATGTACCATGCTTCATCTTTAATTACTTGCTCTTCTAAGCCATTAGAAACAGTTTATTTTTTACTATTCTATGAAATGTTGAATGATGAATCACTTGACTAGCTTTTGCCATATAATATCACTAAAGGAAAATATATTTAGGTAAATGTGAGACATTTGATGTTGTTCAAACAGCAGCAAAATATGTTGTAGTGTTATGATTAATTTTTATTTTTGAGATAGCAAATGCATACAAATCCCCAGTAAATACATTTTTTACTAAGGGTGTTCAACAATCAAAAAGTTATTCATCTGAAGTAAAAACTGAGAATAACTAAGTAAGAGTTTGATAGCAAAGAAAATGCCAAGTAACTGATAAATACTTGGGAATAATTCCTTTTTAAATAATAACATAATAACCTATCAACTGTTTAATTTCTGTTGTTGAATGTTCTGCTTGTTTCAAATGTTTGCAATATTTGTACTAAGAAAGTTTGAAAATGACCTCCCATTTGTAAAGGAGGTTTTCCATTCCTAAGGGGATTTTTCAGTAACATTTTATTGAGTTCTTGAGCTCATCAATATTTGTGAATTATTTCATTTTCTCCATGTTATTTTTTTATTTGATTGAATTTTTCTAGAAATATTTTCTTATAAATATATCTAGGTTATTACCTCCATATTAAGTATGGTGTGAAGGATCAATAAACAAAGAGAAAAAAAAAAATTCTAAGTTTTGTACTATTGCATATCACGAGTATGTCAAAATTCCCTGCCAAAAACAGATACTTTTATTTCTGTTTAGTGTTTGTTGCCATTGTTTGGTTAATGTGCTTTTTTTTCTTTCACTCAGCAGTTTCAGCTCTAAAATAATTATATTTTCTTATGTGTTCAGCCTGTTGATAATTTTGTACTCTACAACACCAGAGTACCTCGTGAGGGCTGTGAATGAATCAGAGTAATTATTTTCATTGCTTTATTATTTTGGCTATTAAGCAAATACCACATTGCCTGTTGTAAAGTTGATTGTACCAGGTTATTATCAACAGCCGCAGCATCTTGATATTATGGATGATTGCACTCTGATGCTGTTGATTGCACCCTGACGCCGTTGATTGCGCCCTGATGCCGTTGATTGCGCCCTGACGCTGTTGATTGCACCCTGATGCCGTTGATTGTACCCTGACGCTGTTGATTGCACCCTGATGCTGTTGATTGTACCCTGACGCCGTTGATTGCGCCCTGATGCCGTTGATTGCGCCCTGACGCTGTTGATTGCACCCTGATGCCGTTGATTGCTAACCCACGCTGTTGATTGCACCCTGACGCTGTTGATTGCACCCTGATGCCGTTGATTGCACCCTGACGTCGTTGATTGCTCCCCGACCTTTTCATTCAATTGAAACGCCTTTGGTTTGCTGAAAAATTATTACGCTCCGTGCCTTATAGTGGTATTTATAATCGTAACTTATTCTCTAAAACAATGATAAATCGCTGCTTTTTTGGTCAAAGACATTTTTTTTCAATATCTTGCGAGTCCTTGCTTCAGTATATATATATATATATATATAGCCCAAGAGTTCCATGTGATACTACTACCTATCTACTTAAATGTTAGTCAAGTCTTTCATATAACGACTAATCAGTTTTCTTTCTTGACTACGTTTCAAGATAATAGATTTGATAGCAAATTCGAACTATTTTTGGCCTACTGTAAGAGTGGTGTTATCTTTCGTTTATTTCTTGTATCAAAGTAATCATGTGATGTGTATTTATGTTTATATAGAGATAAACATAGCGCCTCTGGGCCGGTTTTCTAGCTTGCCCTCAGCTGCAAGGAGTTGTAAATGAAAATGTCATTTACTAGAACTTCGTTTAGATACTATTTGGTTGAAATATTGTAATACAAGAAAAGCTGCTAGATGTTTCAAGGAATATTTTTTTGAATAAATACGGATTCTATTTTTTATGACTGATATCTTTAATCCCTTGTGAACGGTTGCTCACTGGTTACAGTTCAGAGTCCCAAGATTGAAGCAGTGAGTTGCGGGTTCGATTCCAGCTACCTACGACAGTTCTGCTCAATATCGGCGATTTGGCTGGGAGGTTAAGGTCGGCAAAATTCGAAATTGGATCAATGAGATAAGTTTTCAAGATCTGCGTCAAGCCGACCAAATTCTATGCTGTTTCGGAGTCGGCAACAGATCTAATGACCTAGTAATCAACGCTGACACCGCTATTACGATTACTTGTGTTAGTAGCCTTTGTACTCATTGATCTAAATTGGATGAATTCGACGCATGAACGTCACAGGTAGGATTTTATTTTTCTCTCGGGTTTGCAATTTTTAACTGAAGAATATTAAAAAAAGAGAATTTTCTAGTTGCTTTTAAGTTAACCTATCTGGTTAGAATCAAAGTTTGTGTTTTTTATACATTTTGAAGTACTGTGTATCCGGCTGACTTCTTGAAACCTCCTGGACAGAAACGCGGCCTGTCTCACGGCCCTACCTCAAGAAATTCATTGTACATGGAATATCTTCCAAAGTACTGAACCGATTTCAATGAAACTTGGTATATAGATTCCTGACCACCTGAAGGTGATGTCTAGCCCGGGGGAATTTCGCGATTTCGCCCGTGTTCTCGATTTATACGGCAATCTTAGTGTTTTTATGTTTTTTTTTCTAGGTTTTTTGTGTTTTTAATGGAACCTGTTCCCAACTGGACCTAACCTGCGAGGTTTTCGTTGATTGGCTAGTTTTTTCCGGCCGCCGGACTCCAAACATAGAAAAAACCTAGCCAATCAACGAAAACCTCGCAGGTTAGGTCCAGTAAGGAAAAGTTCCATGAAAAACCCATAAAAACACTAAGATTGCCGTATAAATCGAGAACGCGGGCGAAATCGCGTAATTCACACGGCTAGACATCACCTTTAGGTGTTCAGGAATCTATATACCAAGTTTCATTGAAATCGGTTCAGTAGTTTGGAAGAAATTCTATGTACGATGCGTAAAAACACAAAAAAAACTAGAAAAAACCCTAAAAACATTAAGATAACCGTATAAATCGAGAACGCGGGCGAAATCGCGAAAATTCACACGGGCTAGACATCACCTTCAGGTGGTCAGGAATCTATATACCAACATCACCTTTAGGTGGTCAGGAATCTATATACCAAGTTTCATTGAAATCGGTTCAGTACTTTGGAAGATATTCCATGTACAATGAATTTCTTGAGGCGCGGCCGTGAGACAGGCCGCGTTTTTGTCCAGTCTTCTTGAATGCTGTTTAATTTTTTGTATTCATTATTATTCGAATTGTACATGCATGTCATTTTTTTCCTGGTACTTTCAGTCTAGTTTGAAGTCAATTTCCAAAGTCCAAAATTTAATCGATATTTCCTAATTTAACTCAGCTTGAGATGAAACCGAAGAAAAAGTTAAAATGACGTCACGCTCACTGAATTCACTCTCGATGTCACAGGTGCGGCAAATACGCCTCGGCATTCGGCTACTGATCATCGTTGGTTCAAGGTTGTAGTGTGCTGTAGGTTGGCCTTAGTTAGTTGTCAATTCGAAAGAACATTTTTGTGAGCTTTAATCTAAGCAGCTAAGAAAGGAGTACAACCATCGCTTGTTGATCTTTGGATTATACCGAATATAAATAAGAAATGGATTCCGCTCAAGTGAGTAGGCTATTGACTATTGAGTAAGTGTAGCAATAAGCCAGTAACCCTGGGAATGACAATATTATTATGACATGAGGGGCTTTAGCTTAGGGAGGCTTTGGTGGAAATTTTTTGATTAAATACATTTATGATTTTTGTGACTTTAGGCACACAATGGCAACGAGTTAACTCATTATGGTAAATGAGTTCATTTTAGCTGCTTGTGCTCGGAATTTTTTAGTCCTACAACCTAACAAATTTTGTACCTGCAATTATAGCCTAAAAATTTAGATGGATCATGGAAAATTGCATGCGACGAGAACAGAAAATGACAGCGATACGGCTACAAGGCTACAAGACATAAGTAAGGACAGACCAAATTACTGGGGTCTGAGTGCAGAGAGCAGGTAAAAAAAAGGAAGATTTTATGCAACACATAGCTTCATAAGCATCAAAATTTGTGTCTTCAGAAGATCTTGCCAACACATTTCTCTTTGAAATCCTCTTTTTAAAAGAAATGCTTGAATATAAAAGAACCTGGGAGCTTGCCCTTTGGAAATCGGAATTTGAAAAAATTATTATTAGTTGTGCTCTTGGAAATTGGAATGGCTCCAGAACCTCAATGACTGATGGCTCAAGCAGCCAACCACTGCAACCAGGCATCGTCTGCATGGAACATGTCTGCTTTTTGACCTGCCTGCTATTTCTGAAACTAATCCAATCTAATTTATTAGGAAAAGCTCAGTAGCTAATTTTATTTAGATTAACTCTGATTAAGTTATATTAGGTTTTTTAATGAAATTTTTCCATCAGCCATCTCAAACTTCAATTAGGGTTAGAAAGTGAAAAATTGGGCAGAAGCTTCCTGTTAATTCCAGTTCCAGGCTTCAGAGATTGAAAAATGTATCACCAATTTTTGCATTTGTAGACCTAGCTAAAACATTGCTGAAACGCTGATGCCTGATGCTGACAGTACCCATAATGTGTTGCTGGTGGTCTTCAAGATGCATTGCTTCATTACCAGCAGCCTTCAAGATATATTGCAAACACAATTTTTATCAAAATTCTTACCTAAAAATCCAATTCTAATGAGTGTATCATAAACACCCTAGTTATTGCAGGAGACAATTGCATCGCAACCAAAAGTACCAAATTGTGGATTGTGCTTTGCAGCCTCATTCAAGTGAGACAGTAACTGTCTTGCTTGAGATTCTTAATGCCTTCTAAATGACCATTCCATTTTCAAAATACCACACACCCTGGAAAAGGAGCAGGATACCTTAGAGCAGGCTGGAATTCTAAGAATGGAAGTTCACTTATAAAAAAGCTTTCCACCCAAGGTGAAAAGCTTTCCTTGGATACAGTGCTCTGCCAGCCTACCAGGAGACTGACTATAAATGATAAAGAGGATCAAAAGTGGACAAAATGTTTCAATTGTATAGTACATTAGGTTTGTAATAGAATTATTTGGATATCTCGTGTTTGATAGATATTTTTTATTTGTCTTATATTTAATGGGTTTTTAAAAAAATTTCCAGGCCTTTTGTTTGTAATGATCAAGTTTCAGTTAAGTATTTAGTTAACCAGTACTGTAGTACATATACCATACTTGGGGGCGGCCGGGCGGGGCTTATGGGCACAACCAATCACAGCTTGAAAGCATCCCCATCAGCCAATCACAGCTTGAAAGCATTTCCATCAACCAATCACAGCTAGAAAGCAGATAATATTACAATTCCATTATCCAATCAAAGCTGGAAAGCTGAAAGTGGCTAAAATAGGCTAACAAACCAATCACAAATGGAATTCTGGAAAGGGATAGGATATGTAAATAATGGACTGAAAGTGTAAAGTTCCTGGCCTTTCCAAGCTTTCAGGTCCTGCTTTCCAATATGCTATGTGTACTGGTTAATTTATTATCCCTCTAGAATTCCACACTGCCTTAGAGCAGGGGTCTCCAAACTATGACCTGCGGGTCACATCCCGGCCGCCTCAATTTCATCCAGCCTGCCGGACGAAATCGTGAAATGGATAAATAATTATTTTATGAATTGCATCGCATAATTATTCAAAGCTGGGGCCTGCTGACTGGTGGCGCTCAGCCCGAGTCAGTTTTCCTCTCTCTCGATAGTGTGACATACAGATACTAATACTGGTATATGGTATGTGTTGTGCCTTACAACCAATCACTGGCAATCAGTTGTGTATAACTGTATATTGTGGGGATGGAGGCCAAGTGGGGCTTCGCTGCTTCAGTTTCAGGGAGCACAGCTCCTTCATAATCCATTTGACTGCAATGCTGAAAATCTTCCAACTCAATTTGACAGCCAGATCAGTTTTCAATTTTGATAATGTTTGCTTGTAGTTTTGGTTCCATTTTTGGTTCAACATACTTGTATGAACAAACATTTCCCAAAATGGAGTGGGTGAAATCTAAATGTCGAGCAACTATGTCCGATGATCACTTGAAATCAATTCTTACGATTGGCTTATCTAATCTGGAACTGGATTTTAATGCATTTTTGAAGTCAAAACAACAGCATCATTCAACAGGCACCATGACAGGCATCTATTTAGTTTACCCTGATATTTTCCAAAAAGATGCGTTCTAATATTTCTATGTTTAAACTTTAATATTTGAGTAAATAAAATTACTGGCACTGATTATTTATTACTTTGGCCCGCGTATATATGGGAAATATATAATGTGGCCCGCACATTGAAAAGTTTGGAGACCCCTGCCTTAGAGGCTTAGATGAGTTCACTACAGTGCCTCCAGCACCTTGTGCAGTCTTGACATTACTGCAAATAAATATGTAATCACTGAAGAAATGTTTTGGGTTTACTCATCATGCAGGATATTGTGCTGGAAATGTGGTACTGAACCACAGATGCTGAAAATTTTGTGAAATGACACGTTTGTGAACCACAATTTTTTCAATCGAACAAAAATACATTACAATAGAGCCATGAGATTTTGAACCTACTTTAATATATTAGAGCCATGATATTTTAGTAAAAAAGTAGGACTTTTCCCTACTAGCATTTGGCTAGCCACGATGCTGTTTTCCTTATTGCCAAAGCATCTGTGAGATATTTTTTCCCTTTCTGTGATTGAATTGCAAAACTTGCTGAGCAGTATTTAATATTGTTTATTGTTTATAGTGCATTTTAATGTGTTCTAATGCATTCTAGTCCTAGTTAGTTCTAATATTTTCTCATATTTTATAATTGGTTCTAATGAGTTCCAATCGTTAGATGCATTTTAATGTTTTTCAATGTGTTTTAATATGTTTGAATGCATTCTAATGCTGTGCGTTTTGTTGCATCATTATGTATTGCATTTCATTATAAATAATACATTACTTTGTGTTGGAGTGTTACTTTGTGTTAGAATGTGTTGAGTTGCATAATAATATGTTTATAATGTGAGGTTAGATTATGTTGTGTTATGTAATGTTATGTTATAGATAATATAACACATTATAAAACAAAATAACAACACAACACATTATAAGAAAACACGTAGTAACACCATATATGATAATATTATGCCACTCATCATGACATAACAGCATAACAGAATTCAACACCTAAAATGAGCCATAATGCATTGTAATACAACATGTCACTACACAACACAGTCTAACATAACATTATAGCCCAACATAGCAGAACAAAACAAATCATTACTCAACATAATGCAACACTTTATAGCACAACATAATGTGATATTATATTATGTTCTGTTGTGCTATGTGCTAACTTGCTAAGTGTTATAATTTATTTTGTCCTCTTATGATGTCTTCTATTACATTATATTGTGTTATAATGTGCTCTGTTCTATTATCTTGTGTTATGTATTATGTTGTGCTACAATGTGTTGTAAATTGTTATGTTGTATTATAATCTGTTGTGTTATGTTTTTATGTATTGTGTTATGTTGCTACAATGTATTATGTTGTGTTAAAATGTGCTTAGTTATCTTGTGTTATAATGTGTTGTTTTATGTTAGGTTAAATGTTGTAGTGTTGTGTAATGATGTGTTATAATTTGTTGAGTCTGTAATATACCTTGTGTGAAGGTGAATTTTATTGGTAAATACTAAATCTGTTGTGACTTTAGAAAAGTTAGAAGTCATGCTTAAATTGTTATTCTTGTGCCACTATTACATTAATTATTTAACTTGCAATGTTGTTGCCTTATGTGCTTGTTCATAATAAGTTGTTGAGATGTAATTGATTGAATATCCTATCTATTTACCAATTTACTTACATCATGGATTTTCTTATTGGCCTTGGGTGTATTTCCTCATTTATTTGGTGCCTGGTGGTGAAAAGTAAGAGTTCTGTTGAGTGATCATTGTTCTAAAGAAAAAAAAATTCTGTTGTAATTTTAGTTCACTGTCATATATTAGTTAATGGGAACGTGGGACTATATATTATTATTATATTAACCACATTTTTGTCTTATAGCAGCCGATGCCAATGCAATATGACATGCAGGTTGGTGTTTGTTGTACAATACATTTCAAAAGAATGTAGTGGATATATATTAATTCATTTGAAAATAAACTTGAAGAGCTTATGTACCGTATCATAAGATTAAGTTATCATGCAACCTAGCAATTGGGTATACATTTATGTATATGTATATTTAAGCTAGTATTATTTTGTGTTGCTGTATTTTAGCATGAAATTGACATTAATGATGCTGTCATGTAATCTTTCAGCAAATAATTTAAATTTATGAAATAAAACCTGTTTAGTTGGCTGTTCTGAACAAAAATCTTGCATCAATTTTTTATTACAACATTGAAAAATAAAAGTACTCTGATTCTCGAATTGGGAATGTAAAGTATTGTATGGTTGATCACAAATTTTGATGCAGTTGATACCAAAATTTGAAACTTTGTAATGTTATGGTATTGAATCATAGCCCTTGTGTTGAATTATGCCCCCTGGCTCTTGTGTTGAATTATGGCCCTTATGTTGAATGATAGCTCTTGTGTTGAATCGTAGCTCTTGTGTTGAATCACAGCCCTTGTTGTGTTGAATCGTAGCCCAGGGTTTTGAACCACAGCCCTTGTGTTGAACCACAGCTCTTGTGTTGAACCATAGCCCTTGTGTGGAACATTTCTTTCCCAATAACCCTACTCATGTGACACTCACAGTAAATAAAATAGTAGCTCTGTATACTTAATTTCAATCTAAATTTTCTAATTTAATTTAATTTTTTCAATTTGCACACAGAATATTTAATTGGTAACTCATATTTTTCTATAAACCTTTTTTTTTTTTTGGTTTGAGCTTTTTTGCATTTAGCTTTGGATATCTCCTGGTTCTTATTCTTTCTAGATATATATTTTCATCTGTGATTCTTCTATCTGTAATGCCATGTATATAGACAATGCTAAAATATCTTAAAGTTTACTTTCAAGAGCTTATGGATTTTTGAACTGTGATATTTTGCCAAGCAGAATTTGCTGTTGGTGTTGGTGAGATGTACCAGTGATGCTGTATAAATGTACAAGCATGAGCATATTGTGGCCATCAAACAAATTATGATATTTCTAATACTTTTCATAATATTTTCAATTAGCTTCTAGGTCTTTAAATGTTTTAGCTCAATAAAGCTTTAAGTCTCAATCAAGAATTCAATATTTTAAGTAACATTCACATTTTCTCCAGTTCATTATATCATTGAATATTGATAAACTGTTTAATGCTTTAAGAAACATTCAAATCTTTTCAGTTAGTACTTCATTGTAACATTAAGTATAGATAAAGGATTTGATGTTTAAAGAAATGTTTGTGTTTTCTCTTGCAAGCCTCCCCCCGTTTACATGGAACAGCCGCCTCCAACCTCATTAAACATGCAGGTTTTTCTGGTCTGTCATCTTCAACTTTACTGTCCATTGATGATTATAATGATATTTTTTGCATTTAATTTATAATTACTGTACTGTTTGATCAATTGTTCTGCAATTCTCATAGGTCTTCATAATTTTCTCACATCACTGGCTTTGATGTTCTTCTGTTTGTTTGGTTGCAGTTGCATTAGAAACATTAAATATTTAATATTATCTATAAGTTTAAAATACACTTGAGGTGAGCAAGTTGGTAAAAATATAAAAAAAGGCTTCTGTCATCTTAGCAAGGTTAAAATTAAATCAAATGAGATTGAAAGAAGTTTGCTTTTTTGGGACTCGACTTAATTTCTTTATTGAGTTTTATTTGCAATCTTACTCTGGCTAACATGTTAACCCAAAACCACTAACTAGGAAATGATTTTACTATGTGATGTATTGAACCTTGAAGAAATACAAATTTCAATAATTTTTCTATCTTGCACAATTTTTTATCTATCAGGTAAGGACATGCAGCTTTCTGATAAACATTCTTTGTGATGTAATTGTGTCTTGAATTTTTCTGTGGACTTTTTGCGGTAAAGCTGAAATGGTTGAAAGAAATTGGTGGCTATTTAGCAACAAATTAATTGAACACTCAAGTTTTAATTGGCTTCAGTTTCTAAAAACTCCAACAAATATCATTATAGGATGATATGCTAGTTGTTCTTAACACTATCTTTTAATACATGTGATTTTAAATATTGTTCTAATGCTTTTGTCATGATTTATTGGTTGTTCTTAACACCATCATATTTTGATGCATATGAATGTAAATGTTGTTCTAATGCCTTTGTCATGCTGTGCAGCAATTGGTGGCCAACATGAACTGGCAAGTAGTGAAGGAACCGCGTGGCTTCATGAAAATTCTGCAGTTTGTGAGTGGAATTATTTAGCATTAATAAAGATTAAAGATATAATGTTGGTATACATGTTAGGTGACATATTATTATGGACTGGTGTCTTAGGATGACTGGAACAAAATCACAAATTTCAGACAATTTGTATTAGCATGGATAGAATTTATCCATCTTTTATGATTAACTAGAAATAGAATGATTGCAATAAAGAGAATTTATAATTAAGAATTTGTATTCATTGATTACACAATGTGGTTCTTATTCTCCCATTTAAACAAACTGTTTCTATAAAGAAGATTTTCCTCACCTCCTGAAGTTTGAATAAAATTTCTGTTTATTTTATTTGTGTCACAAGTATATTTTTATTTTTGGTCAAGTTTTACTGATAAAAATAATTTTTCAATTATAATGCCTTATAAAGTGAATTTTGATAATCATGTTCTAAGTAATTGCTGACATTTTATTATTAAAATTTACATTACAAAAAACATTTTATTTTACAAAAATGTTTATTAACAGATAATTTAACTCCAAAATTTTTCAAGTATATGTGTTCTATTACATTTCATGGGAATGGTGACAATTTGATTTGCATAATTTCATATGAACATAGAAGAAAATTTAGACATTGTTTTCAATCAAATTTGCTGAGAAAATTTTGAACCTCTTTGTTTTGTTACTGGAAAATAGTGTAAATAGCATGAAATTATTGAATAGTGTAAAATTATTGAAATTTATTGCTTCAGCTCTTCACCATCTGTGCATTTGCAACCACCACAAGCTATGCTGCCAGTTTCTCCTTTGTTGTGAAATGTAGTGGACTGACAGACTCCATGTCTGTTCCTGTTTGCGAGCAACATTTGGTTCCTGTACAAGGAGACGAGCTTCTTCCAAGCAATGAAGCAACAGCAGCAGCAGCAGCAAGATTTCGCAGCAGGCCAGCAGCCGGGAGTGCCCCCACAGACACTTCCCCAGCAGTATTAACTGAACAAAACTCATGGAAAGTGATCTCCATTTCTTTGGTGGATTGATTGTTCTATCCGTCTGTTGTCTCTTATATTCATTCTATTAATTGAACATTTGTTGTCTCTTATATTCATTCAGTTAATTGAACATTTGTTGTCTCTTATATTCATTCAGTTAATTGAACAAACAGCAAATGAGTGGCTGAAGTTTTGTTAATTTCGATCAGTTTTATCATGGGACAACGTGTCTTTATGTCTTGTAACTTGTTGTGTAATGGCAGCCTGCCGCTTGTCTATCATTGTCACGCCAAATGTGTTTTTATGTAGTTTTCTTTAACGGCAGCTGAGAAAGGATACCAGATTATTTATTGCTTGAGTAGGTCAGCCCCTGACGTGTGAGTGAACATCTTTAAGGCGTCAACATTTTTGTGCTACGGAATCATGAATTTATTTGCCATCTGAGGCAATTCACTTTTTCAGAAGTTTGAAGTCGACCGATTAGTATTGGCAATAACAAGTTGTTCTCATTTAGTATTTATTGCAAAGCAGGTCAAGGGAGACGTGTTGAAACACATTTCAAGTTATTTTCATGTGGGAACTTCAGTCTCTGTTATGAAAACTTTTCTAGGGAGAATAGTTTTTGAAATCTGCCAAAACAAATTTTTTTGTGTGTTCAAAAGAATTTTGGCTTCTTCCCAACCATTGATAGTGTTTTATGTTGGGTAACTGGAGCACGGATTCCATATTCTAGGCTTCAGGTCTGATCAGCTTTGTTAAAGAAAATAGCTTTTCTTTGTTAAAGAAAATAGCTTTGCTATTTTGATTTACTATGAAGCATACTAACAGCAAGCATTTTTGTGCGTAGCACTGTTACGTCATTTTTGACGAACAAATCTGGGTTTGGAACGCAAAGGCAACAAGTGCACGCTATTTGGGCAAAACTCTTTTTCTGAGTGTGGAGCCAATGCTTGATCGCATCAGGGTCTCTACTAAAGCTTTTAGCATTGAGGGATGGCGGGTTGTTGGCGCTATTAGGGACACATCATCTTGGAAGAGATGGCAGCAGTTGAAATAGGCTTCTGATTATTCTGCATTTATAACAGTTTGGAAGAATCAACAAACTGAACTTAGCTGTGCCAGCATCAGTCTTGTTGGTCTCGGAAGTGATGGTTTGAATTTGTGTCTTGTAGTTAGGAGTGAAGAAAGCCAGTCGTTGTTGCTAGGGGTGAAGGAGGCCAGCCGTTGAAGACTATCGGTGCGTGGCTCGATACCAGCTCGGTCAGCGTTTGTGTGGGGATGTTACTGGCTGTTTTAAGGGTTGTGCTGTTAATGTTGATTGGGGGAGTAGTACTGGTTGGATGACGTTGATGGTTTTGTTGTACAGCCACGCTTGGTGGTTTGCAGTGGTACTGGCTGGTACCAATCCAAATAGCAATAGTTTTCAGAGATTTGTCTAGTATCTATGCAACACAATGAACATTCTGACCTGCTCTCTAACTCATGCATTCCGTTTAGCAGAGTACCCGAGACATGTGCAACTTGCTAAAGATTAGCTTTTAATGTCTCGTGTTTAGANCGACGTATGACTAGTATGTACAAAATGAAGAGTGAACGATCTTTGGTAGAGTGCTGAACGTGCTGTATTTGTCTCAGTGGCAAGGAAACCGAGTCATTCAAATTGAAAAGTTATAGCATAAAACCATAGAATTCCCGAGGATGCGAAAATGAGTAGTAGATGCCTATATCTTTTTGATATTTGTAAGAAAACAATGAGGTTGACCAAACGTAAGGACTGAAGGTCTTAATCGTATTGTAATATTATACAGTTATTAAACGTGATCTTCACGTATGTAGTCACGTGTTACTATAGAAAACCTAATACTTTGATCCTTTGAATAATTCTTAAAGTTTGATCCCAATTCTAGATTGCTTGGGGTTCATATGGAATTGTAGGTACAATTCTAATTTATAACTGATCAATAACCAAACCCAGGATTGTGCTGTTTTCCTTGGATTGTGCTGTGTACACAAGACATTGAGCCCTTGGACTGTCGTACCACGTGCGGTAAATTGAGCTAAATTAAATGTAATTGGTATATACACTCCCAGCCAATGTTCGCGTCCGGCGTGTTTGCTGCTGCTGCTGATAAACCTTGTATGTGCTTCAACGTGCACTCTAATTCTAATGCGTTCTAGTGCGTACCAATGCGTTCTAGTGCGTAGTAATGCGTTCTAGTGCGTACTAATGCGTTCTAGTGCGTAGTATTGCGATCTAGTGCGTAGTATTGCGATCTAGTGCGTAGTATTGCGTTCTAGTGCGTAGTATTGCGATCTAGTGCGTAGTATTGCGATCTAGTGCGTAGTATTGCGTTCTAGTGCGTAGTAATGCGTTCTAGTGCGTACTAATGCGTTCTAGTGCGTACTAGTGCGTACTAATGCGTTCTAGTGCGTAGTATTGCGATCTAGTGCGTAGTATTGCGTTCTAGTGCGTAGTATTGCGATCTAGTGCGTAGTATTGCGTTCTAGTGCGTAGTATTGCGATCTAGTGCGTAGTATTGCGTTCTAGTGCGTAGTATTGCGATCTAGTGCGTAGTATTGCGTTCTAGTGCGTAGTATTGCGATCTAGTGCGTAGTATTGCGTTCTAGTGCGTAGTATTGCGATCTAGTGCGTAGTATTGCGTTCTAGTGCGTAGTATTGCGATCTAGTGCGTAGTATTGCGTTCTAGTGCGTAGTATTGCGATCTAGTGCGTAGTATTGCGTTCTAGTGCGTAGTATTGCGATCTAGTGCGTAGTATTGCGTTCTAGTGCGTAGTATTGCGATCTAGTGCGTAGTATTGCGTTCTAGTGCGTAGTATTGCGATCTAGTGCGTAGTATTGCGTTCTAGTGCGTAGTATTGCGATCTAGTGCGTAGTATTGCGTTCTAGTGCGTAGTATTGCGATCTAGTGCGTAGTATTGCGTTCTAGTGCGTAGTATTGCGATCTAGTGCGTAGTATTGCGTTCTAGTGCGTAGTATTGCGATCTAGTGCGTAGTATTGCGTTCTAGTGCGTAGTATTGCGATCTAGTGCGTAGTATTGCGTTCTAGTGCGTAGTATTGCGATCTAGTGCGTAGTATTGCGTTCTAGTGCGTAGTATTGCGATCTAGTGCGTTTTAATGCATTTCGGTGCATTCTACTGCGTTCTAATGAGTTGTTTTGTGTTCTAGCGCGCACGAATGAGTTATGTAGCATCTATTACATTCTAATGCAATATAGTGGGACTAGTGCGCTTTGATGAGTTTTAATGCTTTTTTGTGCTTTTTAATGTGTTCTTAAGACTTATGTGTTCTAATTTTTTCTAATACATTTTAATATTTTCTAATGCATTCTATATTATAAACCCTTGTGATGAATCAGCCCCTGTGTTGAATCATAGCCCTTGTGTTGAATCATAGCCCTTGTGTTGAATCATAGCCCTTGTGTTGAATCATAGCCCCTGTGTTGAATCATAGCCCCTGTGTTGAATCATAGCCCTTGTGTTGAATCATAGCCCTTGTGTTGAATCACAGCCCCTGTGTTAAATCATAGCCCCTGTGTTGAATCATAGCCCCTGTGTTGAATGTTTCTTCCCCAATGACCCTACTCATGTGACACTCACAGTAAATAAATAGTAGCTCTGTAAATGTAATTTCAATCTCTATTTTCTAATTTAATTTATTTTTAATTTGCTCGCAGAATATTTACAATTGGTATCTCTTATTTTCTAATGAAGTAGCTATGTAAACCTAATTTCAATCTCTATTTTCTAATTTAATTTTTTTTTAATTTGTGCGCAGAATATTTAATTGGTAATTTTTTTATTAAAAATTTTTTTGGTTTGAATTTTTGCACTAATTAAGCTTTGTATTTCACTTAATTCTTATTTTTTCAAGACATATATTTTAATTTTTGATTTTCTTATCTAAAATGCCATGTATATAGACATTGCTGAAATATCTTGAAGTTTTCTTTCAAGAGCTTATTATAGTTTTTGAATTGTGATATTTTGCCTAGCAGAATTGGCTGTTGGTGAGATGTATCAGTGATGCTGTATAAATGTACAAGCATGAGTATGATGCTGTATAAATGTACAAGCATGAGTATATTGTAACCATCATACAATTTATGAGCTTTTTAATACTTTTCATAGTATGTTCAATTAGCTTCTAGGTCTTTAAATGTTTTAGCTCAATATAACATATTGAGTATTGATAAACAGTTTTGTGTTTTAAGAAATATTCACATTTCCCCTAGTTAATACTTCATTGTAGCATTAAATATTGATAAAGAATTTGATGTTTAAAGAAATGTTCATGTTTTCTCTTGCAAGCCTCCTCCTGTTTACATGGAACAGCCGCCTCCAACCTCATTAAACATGCAGGTTTTTCTGGTCTGTCATCTTCAACTTTACTATCCCTTATATTTCTGATGATATTCTTTGCATTTAGTTTTAATTTGCTGTTTGATCAATTTCTTTGCAATTCTATTGGACTTCACAATTTTATGTTACATCACTGGATTTGATGTTCTTCTGTTTGCTTGGTTGCAGTTGCATTAGAAACATTAAATATTTAATATCCTCTACAAGTTTAAATACACTGAAGGTGAGAAAGTTGGTAAAAATGTAAAAGAAGGCTTCTGTCATCTTAGTAAGGTTAAAATTAAATGAAATGAAATTGAAAGACAATAGCATTTTTGGGACTCAACTTGATTACTTTATAAATTTTTTTTGCAATCCTACTTAGGCTATTTCAATTCAACCTAATATGATAACCTAAAACTACTATCTAGAAAACGATTTTAAAATATAATGTATTGTACCTTGAAGAAAAACCATTTTCAATATTTTTCCTATCTTGCACAATTTTTTATCTATCAGGTAAGCTTTCATACATGGAGCTTTCTGATGAACATTCTTTCTGATGTTGTTGTGTCTTGAATTTTTTGGTGGACTTTCTGTTGCGAAATTTAAACTGTTATTAATAAGTTGGTGGCTAATTAGTGACAAATTCATTGATCACTCAAGTTTTGAATGGCCTCAGTTTATAGAGACTTGCAACAAATATCATTATAGAATGATGTGTTGGTAGTTTTTAACACCTTCATCATTTGATACATATGAATTTAAATGTTGTTCTAATGCTTTTTTATGCTGTGCAGCAATTGGTGGCCAACATGAACTGGCAGGTAGTGAAGGAACCGCGTGGCTTCATGAAAATTCTGCAGTTTGTGAGTGGAATTATTTAGCATTAATAAAGATAGAATGTTTGTATACATGTTAGGTGACATATTATGGACTGGTGTCTTAGGTTGACTGGAACAAAATCCCAAATTTCTGACAATTTGTATTTGCATGGATAGAATTTATCTAGTATCAATAATTTAATTCATAGATTACACAATGTGGTTCTTATTCTCCCATTTTAACAAACTGTTTCTCTAAAAGAGATTTTCCTCACCTCTTGAAGTTTGGTTAGAATTTATGTTTAGTTTATTGGTGTCACTTGTATATATTTACTTTTAGCCAAGTTTTACTGATGAAAATAATTTTTCAATTATAATGTCTTATAAAGTGAATTTTGATGAGCATGTTCCACGTAATTGCTGACATTGAATTTTATTGTAAAAAAATGTTTATTGACAGATAATTTAACCCCTCAATTTTTTCAAGTATATGTGTTCTATTACATTTCAAGGGAATAGTGACACAATTTGATTTGCATAATTTTATATGAACGTATAAGAAAATTTATACATTTTTCAATCAAATTTGCTAGGAAAATTTTGAACCTCTTTGTTTTGTTACTGTAAAATAGCGTAAATAGCATAAAATTATTGAATAGCATGAAATTATTGGATAGCGTAAAATTATTGAATAGCGTAAAATTATTGAAATTAATTGTTTCAGCTCTTCACCATCTGTGCATTTGCAACCACCACAAGCTATGCTGCCAGTTTCTCCTTTGTTGTGAAATGTAGTGGACTGACAGACTCCATGATCACGGGAGTGGTTCAATATGACTTCAGGTGAGACTTTCGTAATGTAGAATTTATTGCAAGCTTAAAATGCTTTATTTTGATTGATATAACGTGTATTAATATGCCCGTCATTCATAAATAATTATACTTAATTTTTGTTTCTGATCTTCATGTATTACACAAGGTTTAACTGTGTAAGCTTTAGCAATACAATATTTGATCTTGAATTATCAGGTTGGATCACCTGCACATGAGGCAGAAAGTGTGTGGAGTAGAACAAAACATTCTGGTGAGCGGCGACGCTTCCTCTGATGCTCAGTTCTTCGTGGCTGTTGGTGTGCTGGCTTGGCTCTATGTTATTGCTGCCCTTATCCTCTACACCATCTTTAGCCCCATGTATGCTGCAAATCCTCTTCTCCCGGTCATTGTGAGTACATCATTCACTTATGCAAGGCGCAAAGTTTAGTGTTTCAATCATAAATGCTATAAACCTTTTGCATACTTTTATAAAATGTTGAGTTTACAAAATTTCCATATATTCACAGGACTGTGGTATGCACGCACTGTTTGCAGTGTTGTACCTTGCCAGCAGCAGCGCCTGGGCCAACAGTCTTTCGATGCTGAAACATGCCACCAGCTTTGACACTCTGGTCATGGAGAACCCGCACCTCTGCCCTGAGGACAAGTGTTTCAGTCACAGCTCTCCAGCATATGGCAAACTTGATGTCTCTATTGTCAGTGTTGAGTGCCAGTAACTTTATTTTCAGCTTTGATTTGAAGTTATTCATGGATCAGACTTGGATTAATTTAATTCATGAATTATAATTGGCATTAAGTGCCTTTGAAATTTATGTTGGCTTCATTTTGCAGTTTTTATAATATAAATTTATTTTATTATTTGAAAAAATTCTCTGAAATCAATATGCAAACTGTATTAAAGAAGTTCTGTAGAAAAAGAAGTATAAACAATAAATTTATTATGTAAATTTCCTCTGATGAATAGTTCATACATAATTTGCATGCCTGCTTCATGTGTTTCATGCTCTGATGCATGTTTTTTTTTACAATTTTTTATTCAGTGGAAGTCTGCTTTATAATAAGTTTCTTCTTCTAGTTTATTTCATTGAATATTTTCACCCTATTAATTGCAAGCAAAAAATGAGATGCTTGGAAATTATATGGACATTAAAGATTGAACGAACAAAGACAACACAAAGATGAGACAACGACTCTACATTTTGAATGGCCTGCCGAAATGCATTGCATTTTGAAATGTCTATGGAAGCTGACTTACAGCCTGAATCTCCATGAAATTTTGATTATGGCCTGAGTCTTGATGAAAAAATTTGTTAAAAAATGGTGACAATTGTTTTGAAAACACTTTTAAAGCATAAAACCAACAATTTCTTTAGTATGTCACCCTGTAGCATCACAATTAGTTGTGAAGACTAAAAAGGTATTGCGATGAATTCAATATATATTTATAATATTTAATAGTTATTATTTTAATGCTTGAATAAGTCAATATATGATATTTAATACTTTTTGTATAACAATGAATTTAATTTCCAGATCCTTGGGTTCCTGAATCTGTTCCTGTTTGCGAGCAACATTTGGTTCCTGTACAAGGAGACGAGCTTCTTCCAAGCAATGAAGCAACAGCAGCAGCAGCAGCAAGATTTCGCGGGAGGCCAGCAGCCGGGAGTGCCCCCACAGACACTTCCCCAGCAGTATTAACTGAACAAAGCTCATGGAAAGTGATCTCCATTTCTTTGGTGGATTGATTGTTCTAGCCGTTTGTTGTCTCTTATATTCATTCTGTTAATTGAACATTTGTTGTCTCTTATATTCATTCAGTTAATTGAACATTTGTTGTCTCTTATATTCATTCAGTTAATTGAACATTTGTTGTCTCTTATATTCATTCAGTTAATTGACCAAACTGTAAATGAGTGGCTCAAGTTTTAGTAATTTCGATCAGTTTTATAATGGGACAACGCGTCTTTATGTCTTAAAAACTTGTGTAACGGGCAGCCTGCCGCTTGTCTATCATTGTCACGCCAAATAATGTCTTCTTTAACGGCAGCTGAGAAAGGATACTAGATTATTTATTGCTCGAGTAGGTCAGCTCCTGACGTGTGAGTGAACATCTTTATGACTTAGACATTTTTGTGCTACGAAATTAATGAATTCATTTGCCATCTGAAGTACCGGTAATTCACTTTTTCATAAGTTTTAAGTTGACCGATTAGTATTGGCAATAACAAGTTGTTCTCATTTAGTATTGATTGCAAAGCAGGTCAAGGGAGACGTGTTGAAACACATTTCAAGTTATTTTCATGCGGTAACTTCAGTCTCGATGTGAAAACTTTTCTAGGGAGAATGATTTTTGAAATCAGCCAAAAATGTATTTTTTTTGTGCGTTCAAAAGAATGTTGGTTTCTTTCCACCCATTGATGGTGTTTTATGTTGGTAACTGGAGCGCGGATTCCATATTATAGGCTTGATGTCTGATCAGCTTTGTTGATGAAATTGAAAACCTCAAACAATAGAGCCAGTGATCAAGATAGTGAGGCATTCCAATACGCGTTGCTAATTTGACTTAGTATGTAGCATACTACCAGTAAGCATTTTTCCTGGTTTATTTTGATCCTGATAGTGAGTTCGGTCTTGAGTGCTATTCCACCGCAGCGTGAAGCGAGTGTAATTGTTGATGCCCCACGCCTGGCTCTGGCGTCACTGCTCGAGCCGCCGCTGTATTCTGGTTAATGAATGGGTTGTGTTGTCCAAATAGTGACATACTTTCTCTCTGTAGCACTCACACGCCCTTTTGATGAGCAAAACTGGGTCTGGATGCCCTATGCAAGGGCAACAAGTGCATCGCTATTTGGCCAAAACTCTATTTTTCTGAGTATGGAGCCAACGCTTCATCGCATCAGGGTCTCTCCTAAGGCCTTTAGCATTGAGGGTTGGCGGGTTGTTGGCGCTATTAGGGATACATCATCTTGGAAGAGATGGCAGTAGTTGAAATAGGCTTTTGATTATTCTGCATTTGTAACTTTTTGGAAGAATCAACGACCTGAACTTAGCTGTCAGCGTCAGTCTTGTTGGTCTCAGAAGTGATACCGAAGTTTCAATTTTTTTCTTGCCGTTAGGAGTGAATAAAGCCAGCCGTTGTTAGCAGGAGGCCAGCCGTTGAACACTATCGGTGCGTGGTACGATGGTAGCGTTTGTGTGGGGATGTTACTGGCTGTTTTAAGGGTTGTGCTGTTAATGTTGATTGAGGGAGTACTGGTTGGATGACGTTGATGGTTTTGTTGTACAGCCACGCTTGGTGGTTTGCAGTGGTACTGGCTGGTACCAATCCAAATAGCAATAGTTTTCAGAGATTTGTCTAGTATCTATGCAACACAATGAACATTCTGACCTGCTCTCTAACTCATGCATTCCGTTTAGCAGAGTACCCGAGACATGTGCAACTTGCTAAAGATTAGCTTTTAATGTCTCGTGTTGAGATTTGCACAATTAATTCAGTTTGTGAATATTTTCGAAAACTATGTCCGACATTCATGTCGCGATATAAGAACAAATTTTAAAGTGCCATAGCTCATATTTCAATATCTCCTGGCCTGGAGAGAGTTCACATGAAATTAGCTTCCTTAGCACTGTTCGTTTTTTAACCAAACTAATGAACACTAATGAAATCCTCTTGTTAACGTAGTTTTGAAACATAATGCGTGAATCCTTAGTTTACTAAATTTTTTTGTATGTGTCGTGCTGTCGTCTTCTTCGGCGTTCTACTTACATTTTACCTGCACCAAAGATAGGAAATTTTCATTGGGTTTTGTTTTATTAGCTTCAGGATTTGTTGACTTTAGTTTGTGCTGCTTGTTGTGATGGGTTGCCAAAAGGATTAAAATAACTAAAAACTCGTTAACTCCTAAAACAAATATCTATAACTCCTATTACCCTCATTAAAAGCAGCTAGAAGTTTACTAACCTCAATTAAGCACTTTGTTAGCATATTCAACTCTCGCACCTGACATCACTTGAACAGGAAGTGATCATGACTATTACTTACGTGAAGGAGATCAAAATTGGTATTCAAAATATTGATTGATTCGTGTGTCCACATTCCAATTACTTTTCTCTACTTATAACTCCATATGAAGATCAGTAATCCTTAGCACTAAGCTACCTCAATATTTTTCTGGAGTAAAAATCAAGTTGTTTCACAATCGTATATTCGATTTTTCTTGCTGTGATGGAAATGCAGATCAAATAAAAATAATGAGGGCAATGTCAGAGATGTGATTACTGTATTTTCTGAAATGTAGTCAGTTCCATTTTTGGGTTTTATGGACAATAAAGCGTTCTACCTATTGATGATGCCCTCAAACTAAGTCAATTACATATCGTAAGTTCTCTTCTTCTTATCTCAGGCTTGTAAATTTTTTCTTCATACTATGTGCGACAATTTCCTAACCTTCATAATAACTTGAGTTTTTATTTTAAAAATGCGTTAGTCATTTGGTGGTTGTAGTGTTTGTTGCTCCTGCAAGATGTACCGAAATTCCCTATTGAGATGCCAGCTTTTTTTGGCCATCTTATGTCTCCAAGATCAGTCTATTTGTGGACTTGATAGCAATACGAGTTGGTAATTAAACCTAACCGAGGATACACAAGCCTCCTAAGAACTTGCTATATGTAATGAGTTGAAGCTTCCTGCTCTGATGATGTAACTAGAATTAAATGTAACTGATAATGTAACTGAAAGTATCGAGTTGAGCACCGTTACTATTACCTGCACTGCCTGGATGTTGTAGATCTGCGTCATGTCCGAGAGCTATTTGATGTTCGTATGACTATCGTGTTTCTGCTTATGTGTAAGTATTAATTTTCTCCTAAAGTTATTTTCTCTTCATTCTGAATGAAATAGCCTACTCATGATAATAAATGTAATCTAACCGTTAGAATAAAAGTATTTACATGTGTTCAAGGTAGGTAGGTGCTGCTTGCTCTTGGCAACGGACTACCGTTAACTAACTGCAATATTTTCATGGAAGAGACGCCATTGCTGGGTATTATTAAATCTTCTCAATGTACTACGCTATTTGTAACGGTTGTCTTCGAAGGAGTATTTATTACACATCAAATCTTTGCGTTGATATATATAGGGAATGTATCTTTGTTCAAGTATTTCGTGATGTTGCTCGCTGAACCATCGCTATTGACGAGCATTAGTGATAGTTCTGAATCATGGAATAACAAGTATTATGTGGTCACTTAATGTGGCTCTGAAAAGCATTACATTTTCCTACTTTTTCTCAGGATTCATAAGGTGCTTCATCGGAATATTGCCTAAATTTGCATTTGTCCTTTACCATCTCGTTTGAAGTGATATATTTTTGTAACGGTTCTTTGCAACTGTTCTGAGACTTGAGTTCATTCGCCTCAAGTATCATATTTTTCTAACATTTTTTCCTGCATAATATAAGTTGTTCCTGAGCCTCCTTTTGTCGGCAGGCCCTTTTAACATGCTGAAGAATCTCTAATGGAATAATATTAAGGTTTCGTTAAAACAATAATTCAAGTTAAGAGTTATTTCTGTACTCGCCATTTGACGCTATAATATTGACGCGATGTCTGATCATCAGAAACTATTGAGATCATAAGGCACCGTCTCGGGTCTAAAGCTTTACAAAATATTGCCTCGGGTATTGCCCGTATTAAAACGATGCCAATTGAGTAACGAGTCCTATTACTAAGTATGCAAAGGCACAAAAAGAGCTCTATTTTCTGCGACCTTATTTTTGAACGGTCCTAATAATTAACCGTCAAATATACGGTAATTTTTCTATGCACGACCGACATCTAAGCTTCTTATAACGTAATGTGCAGTTTAATATATATTGCAGTGACGGCATTTTTTATAGATTGCCTACAATGTTCGTTAGATTCACAGCAATTTTTGCGGCGCTTGTAAAAAATACCCAAAATATATTCTTTTTTTCTCTCTCGAAGTGAAGGTGAATGACCGTGTAAGGATTATTCCTTGAACTTGGTAAATTACGTGTCTGAAACCTTGTTTGTACAAGACTCTGCGCCGTATGAATCAATTTGCCCAGCTTATTTGGCAACCTCGAACTAATGTGAAAGTAACTTTAAAATTCCTCCAATGGCGCTTTGTCTTAATCATTGATCATCTTATGCTTGTTCTTTCGAGTATTAAACTAACTAATATTCAGCGTCTCTACCTTGATAACCGTTGGGAGTTTTTTGTGGGAAATTTAGCAATGGGATCTGTACATTTTGTACCCAGATCGTATGTTATCGTGCCGGTTGTGCAGGTAAAACGCAGTACCGTATTTATTATATTGATGTAGGATTTTGATCTTCCAAGCATATAATGATGATGCATAAATCAAACAGATTGCAAATATCGAGGTTTAAAAACCTGCTCTTCGATCGCATGTTTGTTCTGAGCTTTCATGGTATCTCTCATAACAGAGGGTAAATTTAACAGGTGTTCCTAAAAATTCATAGTATTCTAAATATCTGAAGTTATGTTATCAGTATTAAAATAGTTGAGTATGAAGAGTTTACTTAACATTTTACCCTGAATCTCGGATGAATCTCATATTTCTATCCGTTGGAAACATTTATTTAATATGGTTCATAGTTAGGTTTAGGTTTGAGAGTATCTGTCGGTTGTTGCATAAACTTCCTCATTTGTTAAGTTTTCTTCAAATGGAGACATTAAGCATCTATTACATCTATCAATGATCATTCCCATACTAACAAATTGTTGAGCTTGTAAGGGTGTTGTATTGAATGTGTTCGTTGTTACCAAGTAAAGAAGTAATCTAATATATTGAAATCTAATGTAGACTTCCGCATTAATCTATGTCATACCTTTATATTTTGAGGTGCACTCGCTTCCAGCGTCTGAAATTCTTTTGCCTTGCAACGCACAATTGCTTTACATTTTACTTTCCTAATAACCGATGTAACGTTTATTATATTTTACGTTAAATTAGTGGGATCCTTGTGAGCAAATTGCAAAAGTTTGTATGCGAGTTAATATCATTTTTTCACGCGTTTCCTCTGCTGATGTCTTTATTTTGGAATTGTTTCGAGAGCAACCATATTTGTGGTAGTTGTGCGTGATTAATTCACTTGGTTCGGTATTTTCATTGTAGTTGTTTGTTAGGGAAATGGTAGCTTATTGTTCCTGTATGCATCACATGGTTAGTGAATGAAAATTATTCTATAATCTTCCATTTTATGATGACTTTATTTGGACACGCGTTGCTCATATATTTCTATCCAGTTAAAGTTGGCTCATAAATAATACTAATAGTATTTTAATCTACAAGAAAATATTTTGAAATTTTTACTTATGATTAAAATTTATTGTCACGTTATTTTGCCGCTATGCAATTTTGATTAGTTTGGTAGACCACCTACCGTTATTTAATTCGGTATTTGAGCTACAATCTCAGCATTCCTTCAAAATGTTTATAATAGTTTTTTCCCAGTATCCACTCCCCAGTTGCTCAGGTTAAATTTTTATGTTATATGCTCGGTTTAATTTTTTCTAATAATACATAACTATAATAAATGCTTGCTTAGCTTTTTATCATTCATACTTGCTAACCGAAATTCAGTTGAGTTTAAACTTATGAGGTTGCTATACATGCCTCAATTCTCGCCTAAGTGGTGCAAGCGGCTAACAATTTTGGTATACATTGTCGCAGTTTATGAGTAATTGCGTTGAGTTTTTTACAGATATTATTATGTTTCTGAACGTAAATATCTGCGCAATGATTTTGGATATAAATCTATGTTTGAAAGTGTGTTGCTGGATTCACGGACAATGTTACCGTTCCTGCATTGCACACGTACTCTTTATTTTGCTTGAGTTTGTAATAAAGTTTGCAAGAAGTCGTCCATTTCGGACAGCGTTGATGGTCGTTTACGAAATTTTTAGAATGAAAAACTTTGTTTTTACTATTTTTATCTTTCTAATTTTGTGATTTTTTTATTGGGCTTCTACTCTTTCAAACTCGTATTTATTGCTCATTCGTGTCAATCTTGGACAATTCTCTGCTATGTATCTATGAAATCATTTCATTTTAAAACTTCATTCCAAACATGTCTAATTTAGTGGATGGCTAAATCTACTTTATTTCAATATTGTACGTAATTTTTCTTCAACTTAACACATTAGCTGCCAATATTCCTGTAGATTTGCAAAATAATTTGCTAATGTTAAGAGTTCCAGTTAATGTGCATCTATCATTAAAGTGCTGCTGCTGCTTTGAACTGCATTATTTATCTAATGATTTATTCGTGAAAGTTTATAGAAGTATATTTTGATTTAGCGAGTAAATGTATTGAGTGTGCAACTGATTTAATGTCCTTGTTATGGAACTGGAAACGCAGTGTTGCTCCCCGAGCGATGCTTAGTGCAGAAAACAATTCCCAATTAAATCTTTTAAAATATGCGCAACTATAAGTCATTTCCAGATTATTAAATCATTGGTAACTTGGTAATTGTTAATTACCTAGTCACTTGGTAATAGTTGACCTGCCCGAGGGCGGGGTGACCTGCCTAGCGACGATTCAGAGATGGAGGACGACAAAGGCGGCGCATCAGCGTGACCGTGGGCTAGGAAGTCCCGAACTCATCATAAGGCTCATGAGGCAATAGTTGATTACCTAATTACTTGGTAATCGTTGGTAATTTCCCGACGGGGGTCGTGCGAGTAACGAACGACTTCAGGGCCTGACGACCCTAGGGGCCCGGAGTCTTGTTAAAATGATCGCAAAAAAGTATACTAGTGTTCACACACGTTTAGAACCGTGGCCTTTCATAAAACTATAATTTATTATCTTGTCCTTTTTCCGTTTTATCTACTACTCTTTTAATAGAAAATTATTGATTAGTTCCAAATGTCGCTGGTCAAGAAAAAGTCAGTTTTGATGCGATATAATCAGCGTGTAATAATGGCCGACTTGTTGAGAAGACAGACTCGAGTCTTAATGCTTACATTACGAAGCTTGAATGCACCACAAAATCTTTATTATTAGCTTATTATAAAGTCATATTTCGTCACAAAATTGCTACTAAAGAGGAGCGATTGACTAACGTGATGTGTTGAAAGATTTTTATGACTTAAATGTTTGTTTGAACCTTGAATTTTTGAAGTTGCAGTTTTCTTCACTAATACGATTTGTCAGGATTCTGAAGAATTGATCTTATATTTTTTTCATTAATGAATTTCTGGTATTCGTGTTAATTTCATAAGAGCATCAGAGATACTAATTTGTTCTAATATTCTGTGCTAGTCTTCCTAGATTTTCAGAAATATTTAATTAATTGTGTAGGCGGCCAATTCAGCTATGGCGGAGGAGGAGAGAGAACGTGGCAGTAGCGACAGTAGCCCCATTGTAAGTTGTACGAGTTGGACGAGACGTTATAGCAGTCGTGCAGTTTTTCTCGTATAGATTTAATTGTGAATAAATGGCATCTCCTGAACATTCAATATTCAAACTACTCGAGAAATTTTGCGGCATTAGTCAATTAACATTTTCATAAGAATCACTTGCATTTTCTGTTGGTTCATCCTGAGGTGTTGTGAACATTTGCAAGTGCATACCAAAGCAGCTTATCGCAGTTTTAAAGTAGCGAGAATTTATCAGAAATGATGAAGCAATAACCACATCATATCCATGGCTCTCATCAAATCCTTGGCTCTCATCAAGACCTTGGCTCTCATCACATCCCTGGCTCTCATCATATCCTTGGCTCTCATCAAATCCTTGGCTCTCATCAAATCCCTGGCTCTCATTAGGACCTTGGCTCTCATCATATCCCTGGTCTCATCGGATCCTTGGCTCTCGTCATATCCTTCGCCCTGATAAAATCATTTGCTTTCATCACTCTCGTCATATCCCTGGCTCTCATTATACCCTTAGCTTTTTTTACACACTGAAACGAACGATCTTTATTGACTTTCAGATCGGCTCCCATCTTATCCTTGGCTTCGCCTACGCACTGAGACTAACGCTCTTGATTGACTTTCAGATAAAGATTTTCCGGGAGCGCAAGGTGGCGGACATTCCCTGCTACCGCTCGACGTTCCTGGCGAGCACGAGCGCCGGTCTGGCGGGCACGATGGCTTACTTCCTCTTCACCTCCAAGATGAAGGAGGCGTTCAGGGCCGGCATTGGCGTCTTTGCGGTCGTTACGTTGGGATACTGGTCAGTCTACGTATATTACTTAGATGTTTGTAATCTTAATTATTATTTTACAAGATGAAGGAGGCGTTCAGGGCCGGCATTGGCGTCTTTGCGGTCGTTACGTTGGGATACTGGTCAGTCCGCACATATTTCTTGGATGTTTGTTATTATTATTATTACTTCCTCTTCACCTCCAAGATGAAGGAGGCGTTCAGGGCCGGCATTGGTGTCTTTACGGTCGTTACGTTGGCATACTGGTCAGTCCGCACATATTCCTTGGATGGTTATTATTATTATTATTATTGAATTATTATTTTACTTGATTTCATTTTGAACTATTTTTCTTGACTCGCTGTGGCTCTGGTGCACTATAATGAATTAATGTGATGTTTTTATACATTTACGTTGGGATACTGGTCAGTCCGCACATATTCCTTAGTATTGTATAGTATCGTCGGCATTGAAGAATAGGCCTGGATAGGCCTGTCGCCGATTCTTGTACTTTTCTTGACCAGACTGGCCTTTAGATCAAATCTTTTCAACGGACGGGAGGTTTAACATCACTTCTAGATTTCAGTTGTTCCGAAGGATACGAGGCATTTTAAGACTGAACATATGCCCATGCATGGCCTTGTCCAGTCTGTTCTTGAACGCGTTCATACTCGGAGCGTCAACAATATCTTCAGGAAGGCTGTTCCACATGTCAGTGACTCGAAGCTAGAAGAAATGTTGTCGCGTGGATAAGTTGAACCGCAGTTTTTTAGTTTATAGCTGTGGCCCCTTTTGTTGGTTCTTGTTTCAAATTCTAGTAATCCTTCTGGGACCTTGTACAAACCATGAGTATACTTGTATACTTCAATGAGGTCCCCACGCATGCGACGATAACGGAGACTGGGAAGCTTCTTAATTTTCAATCTTTCTTCATAAGACTTGCCCTTTAAGCCCGGAATTATCATTGTTGCACGTCTTTGAACACTCTCAACTAAATTTTTTGTCCTTTTCAAGTCTCGGTGACCACACGACGGTTCCAAACTCTAGGTTTGGGCGCACGACAGAGGTGAACAACAGCTTGATCATTTCCATATCTAGGTACTCGTTGGAGCGTTTGATCAACCCAAGCAGTTTATTGGATATATTAACTTGCGTTTCAATATGCCTAGAAAATTTTAGCTCCTTGTCGATCCTTAGATGCTTGTAATCTGAATTATTAATTTTACTAGATTTCATTTTGAACTATTTTACTTGACTCGCTATGGCTCTGATGCACGATTATGAATTAATGTGATTTTTTTTATACATTTTTGTAAAATTTCCAGCGAATTTCCACGGAAAAATAGCACATTTAATATCAATAGAGTTTCGGTGAAATACTATTATTATTAATATTATTAGTTCGTATGTATTAATATTACCGCATTTTTTTATCGAAGGAATATTTTTGCTGGAAGGTGTAGAAACATAAATGGTATAATACACATTAAATTTGCTAATTCGTAAATCATGCGGTCTTCGTGTTGAAAACTGTCGCAGGGTAGAAACTGACAGTGTATTTTAATGCATGTATTTCACAGGCGTATTCGAAAATTCGAAAGTGATAAATGAAAACGTCAAATTGTTGCAGGTCGTATTGCCGGTACAATTATGCAAAATCGCAACAACCTTACGAGCAGCTGACGCAAGCATTACAACGGCACCGTGTCCAAAATGACGACCACGAAGATGGATGAAGGTTGGCAGGCTTTAAATTTACGTGATGTAAGTAAAATGTGATTTTATATGCTTCTTAATACTCGAAACCATCGTTGCAGGAATAAGTGTAACGTGGATAGAGAATATTTCTTTACATTTTGCAAATAATGTTTCCATTAGAATGGTATAATGGCAGATTCAGCTTAATTACAATTTGTTGCAACGTATGACTAGTATGTACAAAATGAAGAGTGAACGATCTTTGGTAGAGTGCTGAACGTGCTGTATTTGTCTCAGTGGCAAGGAAACCGAGTCATTCAAATTGAAAAGTTATAGCATAAAACCATAGAATCCGCGACGATGCGAAAATGAGTACTGGATGCCTATTCCTTTTTGATATTTGTAAGAAAACAATGAGGTTGACCAAACGTGAGGACTGAAGGTCCTAATTGTATTGTAATATAATACAGTTGTTAAACGTGATCTTCACGTGTTTAGTCACGTGTTACTATAGAAGACTTGATACTTCAGGAAGGTCAGACCCCAAGATTTAGAATAGAATAGAAGTGTCGGCGTTGAAGAAATAGGCCCATGGAATGAATAAAGATTCAGTTGGCTTTGTATGTTTGATTAGCTCCATGATTATAATTAGGATCGTCGATATTATCAGTGATAAATTCGGGGAGGTCATTTCCAGAAAGCTCACCTGTTCTTATTTCCTTCACTGTTCAAATTGCCAAATCCAAACTGAAAGCTGAATTAGTAAAGTTGCAACTATTTTATCAATATTACAAATTCGGTTTGCGGTCATGATTACCGGAGAAATACATTTTATTGCTCTTCCAAATTATTTATACGGAAAGGAGAATAACAGTTTTAATTAGTTTCCAATCATGACCTGAACCCAAAACCTCAATATGGCCTAGTTTACATTTGATTTTTCGCTACGAGGTACTGCAAAAATACGATGTTCCTTATATTAAGCTAATATCCGAAGGTATTCTGTCGCAGGTATCGTTCAAACAAGATAGTATGTGGTGAAACGTGCGTCATACAGCAGGCAGCTACAGCTGAAAACGCTTATGCTGTAAGGCTTTCATGGTTCTATCAGAATTCCAAGGTTCTATAAATACGATAGTAAACTGTACAAGAATTTTCCTTAAAATTACTGCACATATTCTTATTGGTTGTTTGAAGACGGAATTTACGACCAAGAAATAAACCACCATATTTAATAGAATTAATAAGGTGAATACGTTGACTTCCATAGGAGTTTGAAGCCATCCTTACATCCATATTTCCCACACTAAAGTATATTTTTTACCTGACTCATGATTTAAACCGGCACATTTCCACGCGAAATTCTTGATAGAGAAAATTAAACTTCAGAATAGTGTGCAGTGTAAGGCTGAACTGAAGAAGGCGAGAGACAAAAAAAAGGTGTGAGAAGAGCAGAGCACAACCGATCTTAAAATGTCAATGTAACAATCGGGAAAATTTCATCTTTCACGATTCCAGTACAATATGATATGTTCAGCAAATTTTCCCGGGGCCTGAGTAGGATAACAGGAGATTCGTTCTAACTGGTTAATAGTTAAGTATGAAATAAATATTTCTTTTCTACTTATTATGAACAAGAAATCTTGCGACTGCGCCATGCATCGGACGGGAGACTGTAAGGCGCGACACAATTTCTAAAGGTCTAATCGTTACATACTTGCCGACACTTTAGACCGGAAGGATTTCGAAAAATTTCAATACATTTCAAAACAGATTTTAGACGAAGAAACTGGTTTGCATTATGACATCACTTCCCCACTACCCAACAAAACTGAATTACGGCGTGATGAGAGGTATTTTTGATAGACTGAAAGTTATCAAGGCACGTTCAATATACAAGGACATTGACTGGCTATAAATTGAAATGATCGATGGGTAGATTGCGAAAACTGCAGTGCTCACTCTGCTATCAACGTGAAGAGCGCAAATAAATTGCAATTAGCTTGAGGCCCTATTTGTAAGCTATTAAAATAACAACAATCATTAAATAGGTCATGTAAATTATTTCAGATTCCATTCCCTTTCACATTAAATATAGTGTCGGTTTAACTGATGACAAATTTTCAGGTCATGCCAAAGTCAAGTCGAAAGAAAAGATTGCAGTTGTAAAGTTGAAAGGTTCGACACTATGTTGAAAGTATTACTCTGACCTACTCCAAGCAACCGCATTTAACACCTAATCATTATTGCGCATAAATATAGTAATGACGAAAATATTGCCATGTCTTGTTTATAATTTCCCTCCAATGTCGTCGCATGGAGGATGTAAGGATAGTATTTAGGAGGAATATTTGTGAAGCAATACCTCGCCTAAACATACACTCAAAATCCTGATTAAATCCAACAATACGAAGCAGTATTTGCCCCGCAAGTTGCTTTTATCAGGCAACTACAGCACGATCATAATACTTTCTCGGAGGATATAGCTAAGTTTGAACATTATAAGAACACATTATTTACATCGACGCACACAGTTTCATTCAAGAAATATCTACTATAGTAAAATACACAATACGAAAGCTTTATGAGGCTAAAACTATATATATATATCTTTATATACAAGCGGTTCGAGGCATAAGATTTAATGACACGACACAAAAAGGCCTCTAAATGCACACGCTATAATTAGAGGGATATACGTCGGCTTGACCCTAGTCAACCTTATTGTCCGTCTGAACATCGAGTTACTTGGAAGATATTTAACATATTCAATACTATTGTGAAGCTGTAAGAGACCTCGACTTGAGATATAACTTCACGGGGGATATGAACTTGGCCAAAATTTCTCAACACACCACTCGTCTTTTTCTTTCCAATGCCATGTGGTATCGAGTATTTTTCAGTTCATAATATCCGATTCAATATTGGGGTCTACTTCAGCGTTCGAGTAACACATTCTATAAGAATCTACTTTAACACATTCTCATTGCAATAAAATAAATTAAACGTCAATACCAGAAAATGCATTGTTATTATATAAATTGGAACATAAACTCGCAGAACCACACACGCATGCTCAAGGCAATACAATAAAGTTGATAATACAATTAGATACAACAAGATCTAAATACAACAACGAAACACTTTTTTCAAACCCTGCAAAAATACACTATTCAGTCACAAAAAGAACTTTCCTGCAGAAATACGCGCAATGCAGCTTAATTAATAACTTCTTTATACGCATGAAATATTCAACTGATCAAAACTTTGTAGTGTGGCCAATAAATCAACGCTAGTTTGTGACTTAAATCTTGTGATGGAAATACACATGGTTCAAGTGTGTGCTCGACGTGCGGACAGCACGAATTTAAAGTCTTTCACTTGTTCCTAGTAATTCTAAAGCCTACTATGTGTTGCTTGTGAGACAGACACCAACTAAAATTAGTGTAACTATGAAAAGAGAGTAGTTTTGAAACCTAACTCTAATATCCTGTATGTGCGTCATCATGAGGAAGACCAAGTGTCATACGTAGGAGTAAAGGTTCTCTCTCTAAAGATTCCTTGTCTTGGTAAATGACGGTCATCACACGGGAAGAAAGGGAGGGACTCAGAAATAATTATGGACGTAAGCCCCCGGCAGCCATAGCTAATCCGAGTCTGAAGCATCTCCTTCGAAGCCGGTGAGGTCAGCGTCAGGCATCTTGCCGGTGAGTAAGGCGTACTCCAGTAACGCAAGGTGGCAGAAGACGTATTGATCAGGCATCTGGATGCTGTACGCGCGCTGTGATCTGATCTTTTCAACCGTGCCACGAACATCGATCACGCCTGTGTCTTCAAGGCGGCGGATGCAGATGTCCAACGTACAAAAAGTACCTGAATAAAAGATTACCCATTAGGTGCCACAATGTCTATTTTATTCTTTGTTTCTTGTTACCTACATTCAAGGAGTTAGAAAACACAATATTTATGTCCCGAATATGAAATTTCAAAAACTTACTGGTAATTTTGGAAATGCCCGGACGCACTAATTACGTTTTTTGATAAAGCTCATAATCCCCATTTATGGACCACGGCACTTAATTAGTTGGAATAAATGGCCGAGAATTGAATCTTATACTGGACTATAACCCGAGTCCACGAATTGATAACAAATAACTTTTGCTGATGAAAATTTCCGACAAAAAGAATATATTCAATTATTGTGATATATAAATATAGGAAATCAATCATCAATAGGACAATGGGCAATAGTAGTGTGCTTAACCCACCGGTCCTGCCGATGCCAGCAGAGCAATGAACAACGATGGGTGGGCCGAGTTCGTGGCCCCTCCAAATGGGTCCAAGTTCTTCAGTCCTGGACGCTTGAGCCTCCCGCACGCGCACCAAGAAGTCGAGCATCGCCACCGCAGACTCGGGCACTCCGTAGTCTGGCCACGATGAGAACTGGAAGTGCGAGATAAGCCGAGACTCGCCGCTCTGGAAGCAGAAAAAATAGTAAAAAAAAAAAGTTGTAGGATAATTATCGCGTCCGTGATCTACTGTAACAGATTCTGGAAGTTTTTTAGTCATTGAATGAGTGTTGTTGCTATGGTAACACAATTAAGCGTTGATTACATTCAGAATAAAACTGTCTTTTAATCGTGGAAAGTTTAAAAGTAACCTCAAAATTGAATAATCACATTCAACCTTACCCGTTTGAAACCAAGAAAAAAACATTTCAGATATTTCAAGGAAAGATTTTACTCACTGAACTATAAAAAAACATTCATTTGCCATGAGTTCACGTGGAGTACAATTCACACTTGCACACCTTGAGGTCTGTAATTCTGAGGGTAGTTGTGATGTAGTCGCTATCGTGATGCACTTCGATGTTGGTGACCGTGCAGGCAGGGAAGCGCATCGTGTTACCCACGATTTCAGGCCAATACTGGCCGCATTTTGTGCGTCCTCGCTCCACGACCCGCGTGGTCATCACCACGACCACGACACATTGCTCCCAAATCATGCGCCAGAAGTCGGGTGAAGTGTGAGGTAAAGGTCCTGTTGCGCACGATGGGAATGAAAATGCTTCGTTATACACGAGAATATTGTTGTTGCCGCGATCGGCTGGTTCTCTTTAATCACAGTTTGATAGGCTTGATAACCGCTACTCTTTGAAGGGTCGTCGAACGCCTGTGCGCATAATGCAACTCAGGGTTCTCATTTACAGAAATGTACTATCCTAGGCACTACTTGTAGTGATTGTAAGAGTTAAGACCACATTATATGTTTCAAGTTCCTCAAAGCTCAAGGGAAAAGTAATATCGCCGGAAATAACTTATGCTTTGCTGGATGAACGGGGTTGGGTACCAGAAATATAAAAATTACAATATCCTACCTTGAGTAGAAATAAAAGCATTCTTCTGTTTGTAGCCATCAACGAAGTTGGCATTAATGTAGTCGTTGTGTTTCTCTTCAGATGTGTCACTGAGAATGACCCGACTGTGGTCCAAACACAGCACATCTGTGTACCTGTTCTTCAATTGATTGCAGCGCCGTCTGAAGGTAAAAATTCACTTGCATTAGGAAATTTTTAAGATCGCCTTCTTGCCACAAGACATTCGAGTTAAAAAAAGATGAATCCAGTACGATATTTCTTTACTCTCTTGGAGTCATTTTTTTCAACATTTAAATGTACGACCTCTTAAGTCTTATTACGATCTTTAGTGCAAAACTGAACGAACTTTTTAACAAGGCTGGCCATTACGTCAAGCATGTAAATTTATTTCATGGCAAAATTTGGTTTTCATGTATACATAATCTGACTATTTAAACTGATGAATTTAATATACATATAGTGAAAAAAGGCAATTTTTAAAACCCTTTGAAACCAATACTTTTACAAATTGAAAACACAGCTGAAAATCCGCAAGATCACACTTTCAAATGCATAATTTATACGTTACTAAGCACCTGCTATTATCGAATGTTCCGGGAGGCGGCGTGTTCTTAATCTGCATGTAGTCGGTGTGAAGGCCGAGTCTCGCCTTGTGCTTGAGGTGCTCCACGAACTGATCCAACGTGAAGCCCGAGCAGTCAGCCGTGTGCAGGGAGGGCTCTAGCGACGCCAGCTCCACTGCGCACGGAGAGCCACGCGACTCCGCTAAGAATTTTTCAATTTTCGTCAAATTCGGTCAAAAATTCAGAACCCGAATACTAATATTTACATATGAATAAAATATTGATCTATTGTATAGTTACTGATTGTAACACTTTTTTCTACTTTTTATCAAATTTGAACATTTTCAAACCCAAAATATAATACTTAGATACGAATAAAATATTGCTCTGTTATATAGTTAGTGATATTAAAAATCGTTGTTCTTTCTGAGGATAAAAATTTAATTCTAGAATGGCTATACACATGGATTTTTAGTAACTCGATAAATTCATCACGGCCACCGACAATAGTGAACATCTAGTTATTTTCACTTGTAAAATATTGTAGTTACGTACGTGAAGTCTGAACGTGGCCGTTGAGACCGTTCACTACAGCGTTTTCGTCTCTCTTCTGTGCAGTGGTGACAGAGTCTTCTGTGGTGTCTACGCCTTCTAAGCTCACACCTGCGTTCAGAAAATGGTATTAAAATAAACACAAAACAAATCTAATACCTACCGCTTAGATCTTTCCCTTTTCACTAGAAAATGCCTATGATCGACCAAACATTAAAACTATAATTGAAGTATTCATCAACAAAAACGCGAGCTTCATTTTGAAATTCATTCAGCTTGTACTGTATTTAACAATTCACTCTCAAATTCAATATATATTACCGTAACGTTACGTAGATCATTCGCAGCTTAACAATAATTACAGCGTTGCAGAGATCCCGATGGTATTTCTTATTTATTTCAAATCCAACAAAGAATTTCATTTCATGAAAGGTTACGAACCTAGACAACAATTTAGGTGTTATAGGTATTTTTATACATTTAACATTTTTCAAAAAGTTTGTATTTCAATCCAAGTCTGCTAGTTGTAGACCCTCACTAGGCTCAGCAGCGAGGGTAGTAGAGGAAGAGGCTGTGGCTGAGGAGCCAACGCTGCCTCTGTGGTCCAGCGTCTGGAGGTCATCCTCAGCATCGTGTAGCTCCTGCTCTGACTCAGAGTCGTCGTTGGAAGAATCCTCGTCTTCAGAAAATTCAGGACTTGTCTGTAAAAAAAACCTTCTATTGAACAAACCGTTGACACAAAAGTAATAAGGAAAATTGTGAATAAGGCCCAAGCAGATGTAGGTACTTGAGCGTGCAGTAATGCGAACCAAAATCAACAGCAGAACGCTCGAATTAAAAATATATATATAACTCAGTACTCACTGCAGTGAGTGACAGAGAGCGCATTTTCTCGTCGACGAAAACGTGAAGCCACGGACGTACAGACAGACAGACTGATGGACGGACATGACGAGCACAATAGCGCCTTTTTTCCATAAATGAGAAAATGCACTAAAAAAACAAAAGGTTTTCAAACAAAACATAACACATATGAAACACGGAGAATTCTCCAATCTAAAACGAGAAAAGTTTTGCCCAATTCAAACGGAGTTTAGGCTTACAGCATCTCCGCCGTTGACGAGATCATGAGCAGATGATGTGACACGGCGCTCGGAGTTCTTGGGAGACCCTGCCTCCTTCTGCTCGTCTTGTTGGTCTCCAAAAGACTCCAATGGAGGCTCCATGTCTTTTTGTGCCAGCACCGCGTGGTTTCCCAAGTCGTTGCAAGTCTCTGCAGGTTGGAAACTTTCTTAAACGATTTTAAAAGATTAAGTGCAGAAACTTTACTATACTAACTATAAAGCTCTTAGAAGAAAGAATGCGACCTAAAGGAACTACTGCTAAAAAGCAACAAATCACAACAACCCGTATTTTGTTACTTTTCTTGATCGGAAATTAGGATACAATGGATCATAAACAAAGATACAAACGCCTTTGAAAAAACTCAAAGGAATGAAGATTTTGTAAAAAATATTAATTGACTCAGTTTTGCAGTTCTTGACTCAGAAATGACGTAGTTTTGCACCCACCAGAAGCGGCAGTGAGGGCGGGGATGCACTTGGAGAGCCAGGTCTCGTGGTCGATGATCATCTCACCGCCCAGGTTAATGGGCAAACACTTTTTAGGTATGTGTTCCGCCAGCTGGAACGCGAACAACGACGTTACTTTCATGCCGTAGATATTACATGGAAACAACAATCCACAGACGAAAGCCGTTATACATCAAAATTGAGGGTGCCCTGAACATTAATTATTTCTTCATTATTTTACAGATTAATTAATACTATATATAACTGAAATGAACATTAGTTAATACTGCACAAGTATACATTACTGAAACGGCAAGACTGATAATATTCTGCCAGTAAAAACTGTTTTATTGGTTCTAGATATCGGTGGTTCGTTCGTCCGATGATGGTCCCTTTATAATACCTAGTGAAGTGTTATAAATGACAAAAACCTAAAGAAACAGTGCAATAATCATCAACCTCATTTAGAGTACAATCTTTTCTCGCTTGTATCTATTTTATTTATAAACCACAATGTCGCATTTTTTTAAATTACAGAAAGATAGTCAAATTAAAAGATCAAATGGATAATTTCTAAACACGATAACCTCACCTCACTTAGCGTGACCGTGTAAACTCTGTCACGAACCGACAATCTCCGTGTAAACCGACAATTTGAATAATGAACATCGAGTTATTTTTACTTATGAATCATCGTAGTTACGTACATGAAGTCTGAACGTCAAATGAAAGATAGTCAAAATGAAAGATCAAGCAGATAACTTTAGAACAAGATAACCTCACCTCACTAAGCGTGACCGTGTAAACTCTGTCCCTAAGCTTCTCTCTGACGAAGAGTCTCAGAACCTTGAAGGGAGCCTTGAACCACAGCGGCGCCGTCACGATCAGAACCTTCTTGAGGCGAGCGGGGTAGGCGCCCTGCACGCACGTTTTGAATTTCAACTCCAGACAAAAGTACATTAAAAACTTTAGATCTCAACTCAAGACAAAAGTACAACAAATGTTAAAACTTTAGATCTCAACTCCAGAAGAAAGTACATTAAAAACTTAAGATCTCAACTCAAAACAAAAGTACAACAAAGTTTAAAACTTTAGATCTCAACTCCAGACAAAAGTACAACAATGTTTAGAACTTTACATCTCAACTTCAGACAAAAGAGTTAAAAGCTTTAGATCTCAAATCCAGACAAAAGTGCAACAATGTTTAGAACTTTACATCTCAACTTCAGACAAAAGAGTTAAAAGCTTTAGATCTCAACTCCAGACAAAAGTGCAACAATGTTAAAACTTTAGATCTCAATTTCAGACAAAAGTACAACAAAGTTAAAATTTTTAGGCCTCAACTCCAGACAAAAGTACAACAAAGTTAATAAACTTTAGATCTCAATTCCAGGCTCAAGTACAATGAAATTATTTTAATTGGCAACCTATAGGCTACAGAAAGAAAAATAGGTCATATTGTCCAAACAGTGAAACACTTTTTACGAGCAGAGAGCGGATGCAGCACTGATACGCTCTTTTACCGGGCAAAACAGATTCAGGATGAACAGGAAAAAGTGCATCGCTACTTGGACAAAACCTCAATAATTTCTAGGCGTGTACGTATATAATACTTATAAAGAACAAAGCAAAAGGATTTAATTACCTTGAGTAGGGGTGAGTTAGGCTTGTACGTATGTTACCTATAAAGAACAAAGCCAAAATTGATTACCTTGAGTAGGGTGAGTATTTTTTGTGAGAGCTGATAGTCGAAGTTATTGTAGAGGGAGTCGGTCATATCATAGATGAATATGAGCCCGTGACGCTGAGTATCCGAGGACTGGAGGGCAGCGTCGAGCTGACACACCAGCGCTTGCAGCGTCGTCTGGTGGGTGCTGACGCGGGGGTCGTGTTTGCGAGCTGAGAACAGCGCGATAGCCGCCCCGGTGGACACGTCCCGACACCGCTGAACACATCAACGTTGCGTTAAATATACGTCTAATTATATGCGTTGTTTTAGTGGAAATTTAAACAAAACTAGATTTTTAATTTGTAAAATTGAGCAAAATTTACTCAATTGTCAGGACGTACGTCTAAATACATGCGTTGTTTTAGTAGAAATTTGAGCAAAACTGGAGTTTTAATTTGTAAATTTGAGTAACATTTACTCAATTGTCAGTTAAGCAAAACTGGAGGTCTACTTTGTAAAATTGATTAAAATTTACTTAATTGTCAGTTAAGCAAAACTGGAGCTCTACTTTGTAAAATTGATTAAAATTTACTTAATTGTCAGTTAAGCAAAACTGGAGGTCTACTTTGTAAAATTGATTAAAATTTACTCAATTGTCAGTTAAGCAAAACTGGAGCTCTACTTTGTAGAATTGAGTAAAATTTACTCTCAATTGTCAGTTAAGCAAAAGTAGAGCTTTAATTTGTAAAATTTAGGGAAATTTACTCAATTTTCAGGAGTGAAATTGTAAGAACTAAAAGTAGCCTAGTGAAGTTAATGCTAAGTTCGACAGAAAAGGACCAGGAAATGAGATAAACAGAAATGAAGACAAAAATTACAATGGTTTTAAAACCATCCATTGAATCATCGGTGCTGTGGAACGATCATGCAGTAGGTAACTGAGTTGACTGGTGAAGGAAGATGACCTTATAAATAGCGTGATATTTGCAGTGTAAAATTTGTTTGAGTGGTTATTCCAACGAGCGTGTTGCGGATAAAAGCTACAATAGTAACATCGCGATTTAAATTAACTTGAAATTTAAATTGTCTTGCAACTGGTCACGATGATATGCGAAGCTCTCATAGCAGATCTCGGGAAGGTAAATAATAAATATTTAAAAGTTTGAAAAAGATGAAAAAAGATGCAGATAAAAATAAGCGATTAACTAATTGTAAACTCACAAGGATGGTAAATTTGCCGGTGGCGAGTTCAGATCGGAGCGGCTCGACGGTGATGTCGAAATTACATAGACCTTCTTTCCGCCGTGTGATCTCGTGTTGCTGGTACAACTGCAGCGCTCTGCTCATGCAGGATTACAAGTTATTCATATCTACTAAATCCCTCAACATAAACAAAACCAATATGTAATAAGTCTACTCATCAGTAATCCCATATTGCGTCCTGATTAATAAGAACGAGTTGAAATGCGTAAATTCATTTGAACACGAGTGTACATTTTTCTGTAGACATAAAAATGATGAGCACAGTTAGAGATGTGCACAATGTGCAGTAGTAGGCAGGGAGGTAGTGGAAAGTAGTGGACAATGTCCACTACTTTACCCATACAAAAACAAGGGCTGATTCAATGATAAGCAATTAGTTTGTGCAAGGATGAGGGAAGTCAATGTTTATTCATTACCTGGGTCGTAATGTCATAATTCGCTACCCATAAAAGTAGCAACATATTTTTCGTCGAGTTTATTTATCGAGTTTAGTTTGAAAAATCGTCAGTGATTGGCTGACGTGCTTACGAATGCGAAACAATTTTTGATAATACGATTCCAGTTCGTTACCAGTGATGAAAATTGCAGGATAAATAACTTGCATAATAAATTACTAGCAGCATTAATTTATTGCAGGATAAATTAATTGCAGGATAAATTAATTGCAGGATTAATAAATTGCAGGATAAATTACTTACAGAATAAATTTCAAGTAGTATAAATTACTTGCAGGATAAAATACTAGTAGTATAAATTACTTGCAGGATAAATTACTAGCAGTATGAATTACTGGCAGTATAAATTAATAGCAGGATAAATAACTTGCAGGATAAATAACTAGCAGGATAAATTACCTCTGAACGTCAAACTTGCGCGCCATGAGGAACTTGACGGCCGTGTTCCATGTCAGCGGACCACTCGAGCTGCTGCAGTCGCTGCCGTTCACCCGCAAGCAGTTGGCGCGCTCCAGGAACTCCTTGGTCGCCTGCACCACCATCAAGAGTTGAACACATATTGTACGTAGAGGATATAGTTAGAGTAGTTACAACTTATAGCAAGAGTAGTTATAACTTATAACGAGAACATGGAATTAATAGCAAGAGTATCTAGAAGAAATAGCAAGCGTAGTTTTCACTTATAGCAAGAGTACATGGAATTTAGAATAAGAGTAGTTATAACTTATAGCAAGAGTACTTAAAATTTATAGCAAGAGTACATAAAACTTATAGCAAGAGTACATAAAACTCATAGCAAGAATACATCGAACTTATAGCAAGAGTACATAGAACTTTTAGCAAGAGTACATAGAACTTTTAGCAAGAGTACATAGAACTTTTAGCAAGAGTAGTTATAACCTATAGCAAGAGTGTATAGAACTTATAGCAAGAGCACGTAGAAGACTGCAATGCCGCCTTTATAACACAATGGCCAAAGCAAAACCTTTGTGTTTAACAAATCTAAATCACAATATTAGGACCTGCATAATGAATTTTAAATGGTACGTACCTGGTTAAAGGATTTCGAAAAAAAAAAACAACTTGGTAAATTATAAGACTTGGATAATAATACAAATCGGCAATGTCATAATCTCAAAACTTATTGAAATAAGTATATGTATTTGCATAAGTATTGGCGGGGGTACGAGTAAATTATAACGGGTATATAACCTAATGGGCATTTAATCTACAAATTGTAAATTTCGAACTAATTTTTGGCAAAGCAAATGAACCGTCACAATCACCCAATAGACTTATAACTGTAAAAAGCAACAGCACCGACAGTGGAACTGGAGCTAATAAAGAAAAATTTTAAATGCGTCTTGACTTCAAAGTTATAATATTATAAAAATTATGGAGCACATCAGAACCATTTAGGATGAGATCCAAAATGCTACACAAGTTCACAAGGTCAAACTAACCTGCAGTGTAAAATCACTTAGTCAAAAAAGTGACATCAGGACAAGCATAGGCAGGTAAAAAGTAGTCGAATGCATTGGAGAGCAGTAGAAATTATGATACAAAAATATACAATAAAAAATTATAATTGGAAAAAATAAGATGAGCCTACGAAAAACATAGTAATTAATAATTGTTCTTTACATTCTTGGAAAACAATCAAACGAACTTTTCTACAATTTCAACCATTAAATATCAGTTAGGACTAATTACCCCATTTAATATATAATAATTGTTCTAGATATTCTTGGAAAAAAGTCAAACGAATTTTTCACCAATTTCAGCCATTAAATATCAGTTAGGAGGGATAATTACCCCATTTAAAGATCAAAATAAAGCGCTTACAAACTCACCCGGTCAATAGATCTCCTTCCCATGCCAGTGCAGCGAAGAACCATGCCACTACCGCCACACTCAAGCTCTACCCACACTACCGTCTACCAATGTTCTACTTGTCAAGGCCGACAGACTGGGCTGACTACAACATTTACTAGAACTCAACAAAGCAGTTTTGCATATGTGAACAGAATAGAATGTGAATAGGACCTTGAAATAGGACCATACTACAGGTTACTTGTGGATAGGAACAGGACCATATACTACAGGTAACAGGTTACTTGATTATATATCACTAAAGTCAAAGAAGCCTCTACAATTCAATGCAGAAATAATGCAGGAAAATTACACTTATAATCTTTCATCCTGAAATCAAGATGGATAACACCGTTTATGAGATTTCTGCACTGCTCTCTGTTCGTAACAGAAATTTAGATTTCAAGCAATGGCTTGAAAATAAAGAGCCTTGCGCGGGTTAAATACAAAAGTTCACTAGTCCGGTAATATTTCGAGTTAATTTGATTTATTTGTCATCCATTTGATAGTAACTATTTCCGCCAAGACAAGTGGGGAAAAAAGCGCCACACTGGTATTCTTATCCCCTGAGTTAGTCAGGCTAGGGTTGGCAAGCGTACGAATCAGAGCGTTGTATAGATGACAAGAGCATACGTAAGGTACGCCTATACGCACATACGTATAGGCGTTAGATACGCAAATAACGCCGCTCGCTTTTTCGAACAGTAGAAGTATAAATACATAGGAAATTAGAAAAAATTGCGCGAAAAATAAAATTGTTTTACAAGTAGGAACGTTTAAGAAAGTAAATTCGCAGCTTTGGAAATACGTTTAGGCGAGCAACATTATTAAAAAGAAATTTCAGCAACAACTCTAAAACAACTTAAAGGATTAATTAAAGGTATTGGTTCACTCTAAAAAAGCGCGTTTATCCTTTCTCAATATTATTTGCCCATGCTTAACAGATAGGAACATAAAAAACGAAGCAACATGACCCTTAACACAGTCCATTTATAATATTATCTGAAATAATGGAAAGAAAAGTCAATATTGGACAGTCTCGCCCATGCATTCTTCCACAAATCAAGTTTCAGTATATGCAAGACAACTTGTACGAATTGCTTCCTGCAAAGATATACGTCAAGAATAAAATATTCAATAAAGGGACTCTAGCATTAGCTGCATGACGCGCCCTAAGTCTGTGTAAGGAAGGCATCAAGTACAGGCAGGCTTTGTATGCACATAGCAGAGGCACTCCCGTACAATAGCTGCTGCGCCCAGTCAGCTTCTAATTGCTGCAACTTCGCTCACGTCTTTGCGGTTGTCTTCGTCGTAAGAAACAAACCAATCAAATAATCTACTTCGCGAAACAAATGAATTGTTTACCTCTTACCATTATTCACCTTACTTCAAAACCTGTATCACTTACTCGAAGCATCACCAGAAGAGGCCCTATAATCGAATGTCAGTCTATTACAGGTGCATAACTATTTGAGAATACACTGTAGAAACATCTTTTGGTTGAGTTTATTGCACATGACAACGTCATGTGCAATAAACACATATTGCCAGGTTCTCAGCTGCAAAATTGCCACGGTTAAAACAACATCGTAGCCGTCAACATAAGTTTTAACGATCGAAATCAAGATATTCGTTAAAATGTCGTTAAAATGCAGTCCATTTTCACGACGTTTGATCACTCACATGTCTTCAAGCAATAATATGGGCGATTGACGTAAGTTTCAGAACGCATCAACACTCATCTACAGAGGGGCAGTCGTCAATGTAAATTGTATGTATGAATACCTAGCAACTTGAGCTACAGCCAATAGACTAAAGGCTGCGACGAATTTATCACACACAGCTACAAGAAATAAATCTCCATACTTTCCAAATGAACCTGACTCAATACCACGAATCTTGCGTCGTCCTCGACGTCATTCAGGTTCTCAATAATAGCTGACGTGCACACGTGTGACGAGAAAGAGAGCTCGTGTGGAGCTAAACGTCATTTAGGTTCTCAATAATAGCTGACGTGCACACGTGTGACGAGAAAGAGAGCTCGTGTGGAGCTGCGTAGAGAAATGCTAAGAATATGCAGCGTACGGCAGAGCGCGGGATGTGCGCTTGTAGATAAGAGCGGCAGTCCCACAACGAACGATCACAAGACGAGGCTTGAGGCGAGATAATGTGCAGACCGACGCTGACTTCCACTCATTACTTTAGCTTTGCTTCTTACAATGAAATACTTTGATAACAACCGCAAATTTGTGATTAATTTGATTCTGGGGTTAAAAATGTCAAGGTTTGGAATGGCTGGCTTAATATTTAAGATAAAAAATTATGAAAGACAATGGTTTTTAAGCGGGAAATAGTTCTTTTAACCGCGTTGGCGCCGACTAATTGCGTGCCGTAGGTAACACGAAGTTTTACATGGCTGTACTAGCAGCGGTAAAAAGCGAGAGTTTAGAGAAGTGCCTTCAATGAAAGTCAGGTGCGCTTTCGACAGCGCTGATGGAGCCACACCAGCACTGACAGCGAAGCCAACATCTGCTGTGGAGGTGATGCGTAAAAATGTAAAAGACACGTAAGTAGTAAAATGAAAGGAGACAGTGCATGCGAAGAAACAAAACGTAATTAATGAACAACATGGAAATAGGTTCGAAAAGTCTTATCCTAAGAGAATACGCAGTGAGCGTATCGAATGAAATCTAGAAGCATGAGAATGACACGAAGCGGCAAGCATACGATTATAGTGCATATATACACGAGAACAAGAAGCACAGTAAGACAACAAAGTAAGACCCAACAGAAGCCCTACGCACTCGCGACCGCGACCAGATCGATGGCACTTGCGTCGGTGAATGCTACGAGAGCTCCAAGCCGCTTACCTACAAGACCGGCATAGAGACAGAGCTCGAACTGCTTTTGGAACAGAGCTGGGAGCCCAGCGTTAAGAAAAAGCTCACAACTAAGTATTGAGATGGGACAGATCTGGGGACTAAGAATCGGGACAGAGCAGTGAACCTAGTTTTCGAAAAATGTGGACAAATCCGGTTTAGGGACGAGTTAGGATAGGTATCTCTGTTCGTTACCGTCAACTGGGGTGACGTCGGCCACACCTAAAACTGAAACAAATGGCAGCAAAAGAAAATAATCAAGTGTTGGCCAAAGTGACTGGGGTGACTTTGGTCGATGTTTATGTTTTTGTTTTGCTGCCATTTGTTTCTGTTTTAGGTGTGGCCGAAGTCACCCCAGTTGAAGGTACTGGAACAGAGGTAGGCGACTAGATACACAAACAACGGACAATTTTGTCCATCCCAATAATAGAAAATCAAGTCGCCAGGTTCTATGACACATCTGGACATTTATGGCGAGTTCCGTCCAACAGGAAACTTTTGAGGCGTCCATTGAGGAAATTCAAGAACGGATACGCACACAATGTAACATTTAAATTGTATATCATGTGTTGGGGATGCTACAGAGATGTAAATCGAGGCAGAAACGAGCTCTAGTGAAATGGCGGACCAGAAACAACAAAATCGGGATCGTTGATGGTAGGTAGCAGCGCTCTGAACACTATCACCGGAAGTGTAATTAGACATAGCAGCGACTCGCATAACGTGCAAGTTCCCAACCGCAGTTTTCGTAATAACTTACAAATAACTTTGAATTAAAA